ATCCTCGGGGCAGTCTGCACCAGGGTCTTCTGCGCACCTTGCGCTGCGAGAATACTCTCCGTCAGTATGTCTCGGTGGATTTGGACCCGAATACGCCCGTCTGGTCTCCTTCGTCGGCGACCAAGATCGGGCAGATCCTCCGCAACACGCTTACTACATCCTCCTTCCATCTCCCTGAGACCGAGTATACGGTCCGCGATTCGGTGGTTCAGATTTCACGAGTCTACGGCGACGAGCAGGAAGCCCAGCTGGTAGGTACCACGAAACCTCAGGCCCCGGAACTGCGACCCTGGTCTACTCCTGGGCAGAACATCCGGCTTGGAGTGGCCACCCCGGGACTGCTAAACAGTCTTGTCTTCACGGAGGACCCGACGATTGAAGAGACGCTCCCGGAGGATTGGGTGGAGATCGAGCCACGGGCATTTGGGCTCAACTTCCGCGACATCATGGTGGCGCTGGGTCAGCTCGATGAGACGCGGATGGGTTTCGAATGCAGTGGAGTGATAACACGCGCCGGACCGTCCGCCCAAGCGGCGGGCTTCACCCCGGGACAGGGAGTGTATGCGTTCATCATTGGCTACTTCTCGACCAAGGTGCGCATCCCTTTCACTAGTGTGGCCCCGATTCCCGCGGGCATGGACTTCGCCACGGCCGCCTCCATCCCGCTAGTCTTCATCACGGCGTACCATGCACTAGTCGACCTGGCACATCTCAAGCGCGATGAAACAGTGCTCATCCACTCGGGCACGGGCGGTGTCGGGCAGGCGGCCATCATGCTGGCACAGTCGATCGGGGCGGACATCTTCGTCACGGTTGGCTCGAAGGATAAACGCGACTTCCTGATGCAACAGTATGGGATCCCCTCATCACGGATCTTCAGTAGCCGCAATCCATCCTTTGCTCGTCATATCATGTCGGCGACGGACAGCAAGGGAGTGGATGTGGTCCTTAACTCCCTAGCAGGACCACTCTTGCGTGAGACGTGGCGCTGCATTGGAATGTTCGGTCGATTCATCGAGATCGGCAAGCGAGACATTGAGCAGAATAGTATGGTGGAGATGGGGCCATTTGTGCGGAGTACGCTCTTCGCATCGCTGGATCTGATCACACTCAGGGAGCAGCGAGACAAGGAGGTCCGACGCATCTTTGGGGCTGTCAATGAGTTGCTGGCCAAAGGAGAGATCCGACCAGTGGGCCCGATCACCCGATTTGGGATGGGAGAAGTTGAGAAGGCATTCCGTACGATGCAGACAGGGAAACATATGGGGAAGATTGTTTTGGAGCCTCGCCTGGGTGATCAAGTTAAGGTTCTCACCGCCGGGCCCCGACCCGCAGAACTGTCCCCAGATGAGACCTACCTCCTCGTAGGCGGTGTGGGCGGCATTGGTAAATCCCTCTGTCAATTGCTCGTCGATCGCGGCGCGAAGAATCTCCTCGTCTTGTCGCGCAATGCAGCTCGCATCACCCCAGACACCCAACAATGGCTGGACGGCGTGCAAGCCACCGGTGCGAGAGTTGTGCTGGAGAGCTGCGATGTGACCAAACGTGCCCAGCTTCAAGCTGTATTCGAGAAGTATAGTTCCGAGTTGCCGCCTATCCGCGGCGTCATCCAAGCCGCTATGGTGCTCAAGGTATGTCTTCGTCCTCTATTCTCTACTATGACTATACTAACAACTACAGGACGGGGTCTTTGAATCTATGACCCACGAGGACTATCTCGCGGCCCTCAACCCCAAGGTCCAGGGAACTTTTAACCTGCACACTCTGCTCCCCACCGACCTTCGCTTCTTTATCCTTCTGTCCTCCATTAGCGGATTTGGTGGCAACGCCGGCCAAGCCAACTATGCTGCCGGAGGCAGTTACCAGGATGCGCTGGCCCGCCATCGCGCCAGCCTGGGTCTCCCCGCCGTCTCCATCGACCTGGGTATGGTCTCCTCGGTGGGTGTGGTCGCCGGCACGCAACATGTCGCCGACCACCTCGAGAAGCTCGGCCTGCGGGCCATCTCTGAGCACGAGGTGTGGGCGTTGATCGAGTCCGCCATCCGCCACCCCATCCGCACCCCGGAAACCTGCCACGTCGTCACGGGCCTCCCCGGCGGATTTGTCCGGTCAGACTCCGCCGTCTGCTGGAACCGAGATGCCCGGTTCGCCGTTCTCGAGCAGAAGGATTCCTCTGCCTCGGGCCTGGCGTCTACCTCTAATCCCGGAGCCGGCCTGAAAGAGCAGCTGTCGGCTGCCACCACTACCGCGGAAGCCACGACCGTCATTCAGAGCGCCTTGATCACGAAGCTGGCCGAGATGTTCAGTCACAGCCAGGAGGAGATCGATCCCTCCTTGCCCCTGGCGCAGTTTGGTGTCGATTCCTTGGTCGCCGTCGAGTTGCGCAATTGGTCGGTTGCGACGGTGCAGGCCGATTGCTCCATCTTCGATGTCATGCATGCGGCCTCGGTCACGGGACTTGCAGCCAAGATGGCTGAGAAGAGTCGATTTGTGAAGCTGTAGGTTGGAGAAGATTGATTGATGTATATACCGTTCTTTGCATTTGTAGCGCATAATGGACTTTTTGACTGGTCTTGATTTGGGTCTCGTAGAGCCTTTAGCGTTGTGCTATAAGTTAAATAAGGCGTTCCCGCATATCCCGGTTAGGGCTATATCTCGACTTGCCACTATACGTATTCTCTTCTATTCTATATTCTATGACATTACCTAGCACGTCCACCGAGTCTGACGGTGAGTAGTCTGACGGTGCGTGCGATCCCGCATCCATCTTCTTACCCAAACATCCTCCCTTCACTCCCAGATAGACTAGGCTGAGGTCATGCTTCCTAGGCTGGTTTCCCCAGAGCGACCCGCTCAGCCGAATCGGGCGGATCGGGGTCCAGATCGATGGTGAGATTGGTGAAGCCCCGATGGCGCCGCGGCCCACTTGCTGTTCAGTCCAATCATACCAAATCTTGGCGTAACTCATACTACACTAAAACGCACCATATATCTATACATGTCCCTGATAATATGATATATCTTATATTTACTCACTTTCTAACACTACTCTTATACGAATTCTAAGCTATATTATATTTTTCAAATAGTAGAAGTAAGTAATTCCAAATTTAGATGTAGTTTTTCGAATCTATAATGTATGTGTATACTATACAATTGTACGTCTATAAGGTATATATATATGTAGATGTCATGTATCTGCTCAATGGCGAGGGAAGAACGGCTCTTTTCCAGTTTCATACGCACCATCTTTCCGCTCCCTCTTCGGGAAAGCGACGCTGTAAATCATACTGTAAAAGCCCGCTATTAAGCTTTCAAGCTCGTGAGCCTCTGGAACCATACTATTGAGCCCGTTAGTCAACTTTTAATGTGGGAGGGGCAAGCATTTGTAAGTCTCACTCGACTGAAGAACACGAGACTTAAAATGTCCCTACGTCTAGGAAGAAGAGATGAACATAGGTAAGTAAAATTTTAGTTGGGGTGAGGGGGCTTAAGTACGGATATGGCCCCTCTCAGGGTCTTGAGGACTTCTGTGGTTATAAAACATCTCGGGATTGGTGTATCCATATGGCCTGACCTTCGGCCTCATAAGTGATGCGCTGGAGTGCTAGCCACCTGTCCTGAATTATATGTTGCCACTTGTTTGTTTCAATAACTGCTAACAATATTTCATTTCTATGGCCATTGCTGCGTTTCTCTCCTTATTGGAGATGCTCTTTGGGGCGAGAAAAACAGTATGTCTATCATAGTGAATCAGTTCGCCGAGTATTGTAATGTTGAGAGCTCCGAACTTTACATACGACGCAGAGAGTTCTATCGTCGTATATATGGTATTTTCAGACGCGTGCAATCGCTCTGTTAATAGTCGCATTTTATATCCTAAAAGAAACCAAGACGATCTCAGTCCGGTTCGTGCATAGTATCGCTGGCCGAGTGTTCAGTCCATTCTCTGAAAGTGCCCTGGAATCCAACACCTACATCTCCGTTACTCCAGATTGCTAACCGAAGATAATGTTAGACTCCATGACTGAGCCTGCTAGGTTCCGATCTAATGCTGATGATAGTCTCCCTAAAGCAATATCAGCGAAAGACAATCGATAGCATAGTCCTGTTGTTAAAGCCTCGGTTGTACTTTTAGTGGCTTTCAGGTTCTCCATAAGGGTACAGATACTCCGCTACAAGCTTTTGCGTGGGCAGGGGGGCTGGTAATGTTGATCGGTTCGACTATCGTGAGCGAAAGAAAATCTGGAGTACGGTCAGTTGATGTAGAATAACGAGTGAATATGGCCTGAACTCACTGTAATATATTTAAAAGCAGTCTTTTTGTGTTTAGTTAACTTGGATGTAGAGGATGATAAAGACCATTGTTTTCGGAGCACTAGATATATATATATATATATGCTTAGAATTCCTAAAATTAAAACAAAATGGCTATAGGCCCTTAGAACTCCAGTAATGCCGATGAGCTTCTGGGAGTCTTCCTAGGAGCTTATCGGTATCACTATTAATTGTTTGTCTTCGGCTTATAAATTACTTAGCAGCGCGAAAGACATGACGTTATACGCTTAGCCCTCGGTTTATGTCATTGGCGAGAGAAATGGTTTATTATCGTCTGCTGCACACTGATTTCTTGATAAGGGAAAAATACTCAGGGGTGTGCTCAGTTTTACTCGGTGATCAGAAAGCGGCAAGAGGTGAGCACTAAAATGGCATTGTCCGTGCAAAGTCAATTGATCTTTTCCCAACGGACCAAAAACAAGGTCCACGACCGGTGCAGCATCCAGGCCCGAACCGAACACTTTCATATCGACCAATCAGCGATGTCCATCGTCCACTCCGACCCGATTCCCAAGGTAATCCACCTGTGGACCTGGTTCACGTCATTCTCCAGCCCACGTCCCCCCCAGGTTGGCACGGACTTGCATTCCCCTCCATTTTTCTACTTCTTCCCCCTCTTCATTTCTTCTTTTTTTTTTTAACTTGGTATCTTTTGCGCAATCATGGTTTTACTCGACGGGAAAGAAGTCATCACAGAGGAAGAGAAGCGACTAAGGGAAGACCGCGAGAGAACAAAGTATTGGAAGGTAAGATCTCCAATTGTAGAGCTTACAAGACATTCATGCTAATTGAACAAAACAGCGTTGGGGACCGTACGTGGTGAGTTGAGCCCACGGATAGCTCTGAAACATATTGGCAGCGCTAAAAGCTATTGCATTGATGTAGGCAGAGAGACAATGGGCCACAGGTGAGCTTGCAAATCATACCAAGCCCAGGTCAGATCGAGAAATAGCAGGCTAATGTCCGATTTCCTATGATATAGTCAGAGAGGATTACAGTGAAGATGGCGACGCTTGGAGCTACTTCACTCATGATCACGCAAGATCGAGAACGTTCCGCTGGGGCGAAGATGGAATCGCCGGTGTATCTGATACACACGGCATACAGAACATTGCCTTTGCATTCTGGAATGGCGAAGAGTAAGCAGATATTCTCCTTGAACGATGTGCTTCCGGTCCCCGCATGGAGTCTGACTGGAGTACAGCGACTTCCTAAAGGAACGCCTGTTCGGTTTGTCGAACCCTCAGGGTAATCATGGCGAGAGTGTCAAGGAGGCACATTTCCATGTGGACAACACCCCGACGGTAAACTCTAAACCAACCCATTTACCTTTCATTCTGTTGACCCCGGAATACAGCATTCCTACATGAAATTCCTCTACAAGTACCCCCAGAGAAAGTTCCCCTATCAAGACCTTGTCGATGAGAACGCCAAGCGCTCACGCTTGGAGAAAGAGTATCAGATCCTGGATACCGGTATCTTCGATGAGAACCGCTACTGGGATATCTACATCGAGACTGCCAAGGATGCTGACGACGAGGAAGAATTGAACTTCCGTGTCATTGCGTATAACCGTGGCCCCGAGCCGGCTCATCTACACATCGTCCCCCATGTCTGGTTCCGAAACACGTGGGCCTGGGGTGATGAAAAGAAGACGGAAAGACCATCGATCAAAAAAGAGGGTCCGTTGGTAGCCAAATCAAAGCACAGCAAAATTGGCGAGCGATATGTCTCTTTTGCACCATCACCTCCAGTGGGATCTAGCGATGAAGATATCCAGCCTCAGATGATGTTCACCGAGAACGAGACCAACAACAAGTTGCTATGGGATACCGAGAACACCACACCCTATGTCAAAGACGCATTCCACCGCCATATCGTCGAAGAAGAGAAGGACGCAATCAACCCAGATAATGAAGGTACCAAGTTCGCTGCCTGGTACGCCTTCAACAACGGCGAGGGAGTTCCTCCCGGCGAATGTGCCGTGGTCCGTTTCAAGGTGTCCCGTAAGAAGGAAGAATTCGTCGACGAAGAAGTTCTGGACGATGTGGTTGAACAACGCCGTGCTGATGCGGATGACTTCTACTATCACCTCAACCCTCTCCCCATGAGCGATGATCTCCGCAACATCCAGCGTCAAGCCTTCTCCGGAATGATGTGGTGCAAGCAGTACTACAACTTCGTCTGGGATCAATGGGCCAACGGTGACCCCGCTGAAATTCCTCCTCCGCCAGGCCGAAAGGGCATTCGTAATGAGCAGTGGCGTCATCTGTACATTGACGATATCCTGTCCATGCCGGACTCTTGGGAGTACCCATTTTTTGCTGCGTGGGACACTGCATTCCACTGTATCCCACTGGCCATGATGGATCCCGATTTCGCAAAGAAGCAACTTGACCTCCTCACCCGTGAGTGGTACATGCACCCGAACGGTCAGCTGCCTGCGTACGAGTGGAACTTTGGCGATGTGAATCCTCCTGTGCACGCATGGGCTGTGTTCCGCACGTTCAAGATTGAGCGCAAGATGTACGGACGACAGGATTTGGACTTCCTGGAACGTGTCTTCCAGAAATTGCTGCTCAACTTCACCTGGTGGGTGAACCGCAAGGACTCTGGTGGCAAGAATGTGTTTGAGGGTGGCTTTTTGGGACTCGATAACATCGGTCTGTTCAACCGCTCGGAGCCATTGCCCACTGGCGGTGTCCTTGAGCAAGCGGACAGCACTGGCTGGATGGCCTTCTACTGTCTGACCATGCTCAACATCGCTCTCGAGCTGGCCAAGCACCGTCGCATATATGAAGACATTGCATCCAAGTTCTTCGAGCACTTCTTGCTCATCAGTGATGCAATGACCTTCCGTTCCGGCGATGACACTATCCAGTCACTCTGGAACGAAGAAGATAGCTTCTACTACGATGCCATCTCCTACGGCGGTCCATGGACCCAGCAGCTACCCATCAGATCCCTCGTCGGTTTGATCCCGCTGTACGCGGTTCTCACCCTAGAGCCCGAGCTCATCAACCAATTCCCCTCGTTCAAGCGACGCGTGGACTGGTTCATCGAGAACAAGCCAGACATCGCCGAGCGCAACATCGCCAGCATGAAGAACCGCGGCAAAGACGACCGACTCCTCCTCGCCCTCGTCAGCAAAGACCGTCTCATCAAGATCCTCGAGCGAATGCTCGACGAAACAGAGTTCCTCTCTGAGCACGGTATCCGCTCCATGTCTAAGTTCCACCAAGACAACCCCTACTCCATGGACGTCAACGGCCAAACCTTTAAAGTTGGCTACGTCCCCGGTGACTCCGACTCCTCCCTCTTCGGCGGCAACAGCAACTGGCGCGGCCCTATCTGGCTCTGTGTCAACTTCCTCCTCGTCGAGTCCCTCCTCCGCTTCCACATGTTCTACGGCGACACCCTTCAAGTAGAGTGTCCCAGGGGCTCAGGTGACTACATGCACCTCGGACACGTAGCAGAAGAACTCCAGCACCGCATGCAACACCTCTTCGCGCGCAACGACGAAGGCCGCCGCGCCGTCAACGCCGGCTCAGACCTCCTCGATTTCGACGAGCACTGGAAGGACAACCTCTGGTTCCACGAGTTCTTCGATGGTGACAGCGGACGCGGACTGGGTACATCGCACCAGTGTGGATGGACAGGTCTAATCGCCAAGATCATCCACGACACCGGTGTCAACTGTCGTTTACCACAGACACCGCGATCACCCTTTGCCGCGGCATCGCACTACTTCGACGACATCTTCTCCCGTTCCGGTCGACCGCGTGGCTCCAGCCGTCCGTCTATCCGTCGTTCATCGACTACACGTTCCATCGGGAACCGTAGTGATTTCTACTCTGGTGAGGCTACGCCTGCTGCAACGGTGGATGACGACGGCCAGAGTCGCGGTGCTAGTCGTGCAGGCAGTCGGAGGGGTAGTACTGCGGATCCTGATAACCAGGATCATGTGGACCACTATGTGGAGAGTCAGTTGCAGCGGGTTCGCAGCTCTGCTTCAATTGCTGCGTATGAGGATGAGTTTGAGACGAGGGCCGATAGGGCTGAGAAGGAGAATGGGCAGAAGTGATAGTCTTGATGGCTTTGATGTTGTCATCTCTTACATTACATTCGTCTTCCGTTTGATCATGTGCCTTCTACCTAGGCTTCTCTCTCTCCTTTCTCCTCTCTCATCATTTGCATATTTTGTTTCTTGACGCGATGATAACGACCTTGTTGTCTGTTACGACTGTTTCTTTCTTGTTTCCTTTCACATATGTTGCATCTGCTATCTATCATTTACAACCTATTCATACATACATTTTTTTCGGAGTATAGTCTTGATTTATAGTGCATTTGATAGCGAAGTAAACATTAATGATATCATTCCCAAACAGACGGGACCTACCTGTTCCCTGTGCCTAGGCATATCAAATCACCTCTGATGAGGTCAAGATGTATAGGTTTCAAAAAAATTTTTAAGTCATCGCGCAGATTGACGGGCGATCAGAACGACGCATCGGGTCCACACAATACGGAAGGCAGGCAAACACCAAGGCAAACAGGTTGAGGGATAGGAAATACACTCAACCCGCTAGACCAAGATGTCCACCGTACCTTGTAGGACTCAAGCAAACACCGAACTAGAAGACACCAATAATGGATGAATTTGTGCAATTGACAGGTAATTCGAACAAAACAAAATGAAGGCAGAAAAAGGAACTCTTAGAATTCCCCTTTCCGCCTACGAACGCTACCGTTCATCCGGGACGATGTGCTATAATCTAACCATCCCCTCAAACGCAGAGGCTAATTTACATTTACAAAGCATCGGAAAGAGCCTTGTTCATCTTGGCGATCTTGGAAGAAACGCTGAGGTCAACGGTGCGGTCACCGATCTCAACGATGAGTCCACCAACGAGGTCGGGGTTGACCTAACAGAGTTAGTAAATAGCCACAAAACAAACTCCATCAAATAAAACGCACCTTGGCAACAACCTTGAGCTTCTTGCCCTGGCTGAACTGAGACTTAGCAACAGCCTTCTCAAGACGGTTGAGGGTCTTGGCATCGAGCTCCTGCGAAAGTTTTAGCTTTTATATCTTTTTTTTTCCCCGCAACATAGCCCAAAGAATCCGTACCTGAGCACTGGTGATGTTAAGATCGATCTCGCCGCGGTGAGCACCCATCAGGGTAGCGAACTTCTCACAGACACCCTCGAGGGCACCGAGACGGTTGTTCTCGGCGAGAGTCTCGAGGAAGTTCTGGAGGATACCGGCCTTATCAGCACCGGCGACCTTGGCGAGCTCTTCGACGATAGACTTCTTGTCGGCGACGGTGAGCATGGGGGCACCGAGGATGGAGACGAGCTTCTTGTCAGTCTTGAGGGTCTCGCCGAGGGTAGCGATAGCACGGGCAGTCTGGTCGAGAGCAGCGGACTTGGCGGAAGCGGTGTACTAGTGAATCAAAAGGTCAGAATAAGGATTCATTCTGGATATGCTTGCGTCTTGGTGAGGATTTGAAGATTGGTTTTGAGTGTGGGAGGGGTCGGGGAAAGACGGGACATCGTCGTGAGACATCAAACAACAGTCGCAACAAGACCGAGGCAATGGAGGTGCATACCAGAGCAGAGGCGTAGGTGCCATCAACGCCGAACAGAGCGACGGGAGCGCGGGTCTCCTGGGCCGGGGTGGCATAGGACCTGATGCCGTTAACGGCGGCGGTGCGAGGAACGGAGAACTGGGTGGCACGCAGGCCAGCGCGGGCGAAGCGAGCGGACATCATTGTGCAATTGGCTGGAGGAGGGCCTCGGGGAGGGAGGGACACAGAGGGTTGAATGGGGAGGTGATATCGACGTTCCGAGTGCTTGCTTGGTCAAGGATGCAAGGTTGAGACCTCCGGGCCGAATGTTCCCGTGATCACGTGAACACACAGAAGGATAGTCACGTGCTTACAATGCTTGGCGGCTACGACGTAGCTTTTGATTTTGGATCATCACATTTGATTATTTGAATTTGGCCATAATATTTGGTGAGATAAAATGGGCTATTCCCACACAGTCGATCGAGATCATGTATGACTTCAAATATATGGAGATCGGCTCAATTTTCGGGATTAATTACACGCTCAGGCCAAAACACATTAAAGCCTAAGAAGCGCCCCCTTTACAAGAAATAATATAATATCCATGAATTCATCGTTTCGGTCTTCGCGTCAGGTCAAGCCCCAAACGCCAAAAAGCCCAAGCTAAAATACTGCAATTCATGCACCACCCGAAACGCCGTTGAGATATCCTTTCCGTAGACCAGCCTCCCTGACTATAGAGATCAGATGCAAAACACAATTACTACCCATTTTCCCGATTCAACCCTTAGTCGCTGCGTAACATACTATCCACCAAATCACCCAGCGGTCCCCAGAAATCCTTCCCACTGGCCAGCTTGTGCTCATCAATGAACAAGACATAGTGCTTGAAGCTGGTGTTGAGGTGAGGTTCGAGGCCGAGGTGTACTACCACTGGGTAATGGTGGCAGTAGATGTGGGCGTAGACACGGTATAGACGCTTGAAGATCTGGCGGAGAAGACTGGGGAAGGTCTTTGGGAAGGGGACACCTGGAAGGAAAACATGGGTGAGCAATAGATCTACTATTAACGAATGACTCGTGAGCATACCGATCCGGCTAGGGAACATCTGTTCGTTGTCGACGTTGCTTTGAACCCATGTCATCAAGTGTTCAATGTATTCCGGGGCCGACATCTTCGTTGGGCGCTTAAAGTTCTCCGAGTCTTGCCAGAGGTACTCGAACCTATCCATTGTAAGCCGGGGGTCAACCACCTGCCGAGGAAGTATCATACTCATCTGTAGCCTTCATCTCGGGACATGTCTGCGGTGAGCAAAATTCAGTTATTGAGCCGTACAGAAGGTTGATCTGATTGTAGAAGTCGACAACTAAATCAAAACATTAGCAGATGTACTCAGTATAACTCCGGAAGAGCTGACTCACTATTGACAGCGAGCCATTCATTCTGATCTTCGCCTTCAGGCAGCTTCACAGCTTTGCGTAAGCTACCACTACCAAGGGTGGCTTCGGCGAACTGTCGTAGCTGATAACTGCTCGTGCCCTTGGCGGCCGAGCGGGGCTTGAAGGGGGCGCGTGTGCGTGCATTGCTGGGAGGTGTTAGTCCAAGACAGCCTTGTTTGAGTGCGCGCACCGCAGGCGACAGGTAGGATGGAGGCTCCGAGAGGGGGGCATTGGAAGTGCGAGTAGTCTGATATAGAGCGGACGGGCTGACAACGGAAGGGAGACGTGGTTGCTGGCAGAGAGAGGTCTCGCCGGGGGAAGGGTAATGAGCAATGGGAGGGGTAGCGGGGACAGACATGGTGGTGATGAACGAAGACATATTCACTCAGGCTCGATAAAAAAAGTATTCCCTTTCGGTAGGGGTGTATTTCGGCGGGGTTTCGCTGATCGCGTTGCCTACATTCCAATCTCAGATATCAGTTGCTGTTTAAGATTTGAGGAATGTGATTAGATGTGCGGATGTACTGACGTGCAGACAATTTCAACGAGGCGTATCTAACAATGATTCTGGATGATAGGTATGAGAGGAATGCGCAAGGAGAGAGATGTTATCGGGTTTCAGCTCCCCAAATTCCTAGAGTGAGATCCGATCCGTTGACCACGTTGCCCCAGTTACCGCCTCTACGTCACAGGTATAAGAAATATTTTAAATGTATACCACCGAACCATTCAATTTTAATATCAATTATACATGGCGAATAGCCAGAGGCCTATATTTGCGGGGGTTTTTTGCTCGGCACAAGGGGAATATTTAATCAAACGAAAATCAAGCATAGCCTGCACGGCAGGCAAGCAAATGTGCACACCTAGAGACATCTAGTGTACGTCTAGAGTTCTAGATCGGGTAGCCTTCATTCTCCTCAGGCAGTCGTTCTCGAACAGTCTCTCCATAAACCGTCAGCGGGATAGCAATCTCGAATGATTCACAGTTCAAATGCTCCATGGCTGACAGCACCGTGCCGCGATCATCTGACGACAAAGCCTCAAGTAAGCGAATTCCCGAGGGTTGGGCCCCTTGCTCGCCTCGAACACTAGATGTCACAAACTCAAATCGCAGTTCCCAATCGAGAGTCACACCGCTCGTCAATATTGAAGGGGTGGCTGTGATAGGGATAGCCGGGCTAAAAGCCACTCGGGTGGCATGGAGCGTGTTCTCGAACAGAGAAGCATGGATGCGCCGCGTGGTTCGGTGAATGCTGGCATTTGACCGGACAGCCAAATTAGGGGTAACTTTTTCGGACGTCTCCAGCGAAGCACGTACAGCGTAGCATGGAATATTGGCATCTCCAAAATCCATAGTAGCGATAATGGTCTCTCCAAGTCGGTGAACTGGTCGGTTCAAAACGACCACGGCGATACGTTTGCCTTCGCGGGCAATCTCAAAGCGATTGGGGCTGCGACGAGAGTTCGCGGCCTGGTTGCTGCGAAGGATAGCAAAGTCGATGACATCCTTCGAAGTAAGTAACTGGGGTAATCCTTCAACGCTAGGTCGTCTCGACGGCGTAGCACCAGGTGGGAACAGCGTGTTGGAACGCGCACGTTGCTCCAAAATTTCATCCACAAAACCAAGGAAATCGGCCGCGGAATGGTGAGATTTACTCATACTTTGGTTATTTGTTGTCACAGGCATCACTGGCCCGAGCTTTTGCACCTTCGCTTCATCCCGTAGAAGTACGTAAGGTGACATCAAGTCATGCCCGAGGATATCTCCCTTTTCTATAAAAATGTAAGACCCTGGGATGGAAGGCAAAGTGAAGAATGTAACTTACCATTCACGCCACTGAAAACGCGGAAGGGTATATTGATGCGATTGACCTTTTGGGGCTCGTTAGGCCCGCTAGGTCGCTGAGTTCCAATGACCAAATTATATGAGATCTTGATTGCTTTCCCTTTATGACTCGCCGGGAGTCCTTTGGGAAGAGCGAACGAGAAAGAATAGGACTGTTCCTCTCCTGGTGCCAGTCGGAGGTCAACAAAGAGCAGCGACTGTGATGTGGACAACAACGGAATTGATCTCGACGATGTAACACCACGCATTTCTCGTAGACCGTCCAATTCATTATTTGAAAGAAGACCACTGATGGATTCCTCAATAGTGTTCCATTTGAGTGCGCCCCAGAACCCACCAGTCTTTCGTGGTCGCTCGGCTGTTGGAGTTGGGCGTCCAGGAAGTCCACCTGAACCCGGTTGCCCACCAACAACTCCCTTTCGCTTGACTTCGTCAAAGGCTGCCTGGTTCACCAGTGATCCATCGACCGTGAATGATGCGCTGACCTGCGCATAGCCCATCAGCAGCGCCTGGCTGTTGGAGGCTTTGGAGGGAGATGGAACTACGCTCGAATGATGCCGCGCATGACGTATAGAAGGGGGAGCCCGCGCACCCTGTACCGAATAATTTGTGTATTCGGACCCGATGGTCTCGGTGGAGTGGTCGCTGATGGAGTAGAACTCCCCGCTGCTCCGGCTACTCCCATTCACGCTTGTGGCTGATATAATCCGGGTTAGTTGCTGGTGCGCCGGTCCAGTCAGACCTTGTGCATCTCTGACAGCGGATCTTCCTCCGGTTGATGATGTACCATTCGTTGTCGCCGACTTTGGTGATGGAGTGCGCACGGTGCGATTGTTAGTTGATTCGGTGGATGGCGTGGCCGGAAACTTAAAATCGAGAGAAGGTGGTTGGGGCCGCCGTGAAGGTCGACGCAATGGCTCTGTTGCACCTATCGGGCTAGTCGCTAGAGATCCAGGGCGGCTGGCTCGCCCCAGGTGGGAGGTATCAACTCTCAGGCTGCCGTTGGGATGCTCGTTGGGAGCCTCAGTCAACGGAAATGGAAAGGCATGAGAGGGGGTTCTCGCTGATCACAGACAGTCGTTAGTTGAAGAGCCATAAAGCACATATTTGCACTGTCCATCGTATACCTTTTTTGTAAGAATCCTCGCAGCTATTATTCCTCCGCGGCATGATCTGGAGACTTGCCGACCGCCCATGACCCCTGGCTGGCTGATGCCGATTGTAATTGTGCGGGGAAGGCGTCGGATCGGGTTGACCTTCACTATCAATGGAGAGGATGGAGACGGATCGTTTATGGTTGTGACCTGGTTGCCATGCTCGCGGTGTAGAGGGGCCACTGTTCGGAGGAAAGCTATGGGAGCCGACTAACGGAGAGCTCAGGGACGAGGCTGTCCGGTGATAAGGCTTTCGTTGCGAGCTGGTAGAATATGATCGCCGGCTAGAAAAGAGAGTTTGGGGTGATTTGAATCCGAAGAAAGAGTCCGAGTTCGAGTTAGGTGTGTGATTCGCGACTCGAGAGGTCTTCCGTGAATGTTGACCTCCTTCACCCGCATTATTGGCATCGGCGCCAGTATCGGCAACGTTCTTGAATGTTATAGTACATTCAACATCCTCTCCTGCAAATATAGTTTGGTCCTTCCATTTCACGAAGACTTGGATGTTGGATGGCATGGCGGTCGTGTCAGCATGTGGGCTGCAGTTCGAGGGGGGCCAAGGCCTGGGGGGAATTGCCGGCACGATGAGCTGTAGTTAGGTCGAAGCTTGGTAAAATATGCCAACACTCGCATCCTGTCAACCCGAATGAACCATGCTGATTGTAGAGTTGAAGATGTGTTGCCGAGGGAGTTGCGTGGCGATGATATCCTTGCTAGCTCCACCGCGAACTACGGGCTAGATGACATATGATACCCACCCTATCCTACGACTAAGTAGTACATCGATATATAGCAAATATGTTGTTTACGTCCAACATTAGAGTAGAGAAAGGTCACATGTGATATTATTTATTGTACAGGCGCAAATTTAAAACCATATCTAACATAATATAAATGTACACAGACTATCTTCGCTCGCGATTTTTGTCATCATACAGTACATGGAAGTCTGCAAGGGGCCGCGTGCGATTATTCGAAGGGCGAAGACCAAGCTCAGCCATACGACTCCAGATTCTATCGTGTCGGTTCTCCCATCGCTTGCGTCGACTCTCCATCTCGTCCTCCGATGGGCGCCATTTGCTCTTCAGAATTCGGCGAATAGCTTCCGGGGATATCTCAAACTCCTCCGCAAGGACTGCGGTCGTGAATTGTTCGGGAGCCTTGGCATGAAGATGACGGATTCCATCGAGGGCATCAGGTGAAAGCTTCTTGGGTGGGTTCCAACCACCGGCGAACTTGTCCTTCAAAGCAGCTTTTTGCACTTGCCACGCCTCAGGCTTTCTCTTTCCCCTTTGCTCTGAGAACTGTTTCCCTTTTTCGGCTCTATCTTGCCAGTGTTTGCGGGGCTCCTTGTCGGCCGCCCTGCGAGTCTCGTTGCGGAAAGTTCTGCGCTCTCTGTCGGTTCTTCCCTTGCTATTTTCTGGGCTCCTTCGCTGGTCCGTAGGGTGACCTTTATGGGTATTCCATCCGCCTTTCTTGCCGAATAAGTCGTAATCCTTCTTCTCTGGTGTTTTGTGTTGAGAAGGCACGGTATCATCAGCGACGGCCGGAGTTTCAGGGGCTGCGGGCGCTGGTTGATCATTCTGGGAAGTATGCAAGCGCGGTATTGAACTGAAGGATCGTTGAAGCTGGGAATTTGAAGAGAAAAGAGGAGCATGGGCAAGAGGTTGGTGATAGGGGTTTATTGAAGAAGCGCCCAAGTTACTGGTGAACTGAGAGCGGAAAACATTGCGCAGAACGGTAGGCAAGGCCAGCGTTGATGACGCAGCGCATTTGGTGGCCATCTTAAGAGTCACCTGTAGATGGAAAAAGAGGAAGTAACGAGCAGAGCAAAGTTGACAATGGACGAATGTGAGATCTGGAAGTTCAGCGAAGGGAAAATATCCGGTGGCGATAAGAAAACACGCGATAAGATCACCAAATGTTGGTGGCCTGAGAAATATGGCATGCCAGTTCGTACGTTTTCGAGTTTTGTATACTTATGTACTATGTGCCTGGCTTAATATTAACTGGTTCCAGCTGTATTCATTATATAGAGAGAAGTTATGGATGAGATAGACGTTGTTTTTTTGAACTATCCCAACAAGATTAGTCGTCTGCTTATGCGGCCTTTTGATGTCGTGAGGGTATTTTCTCTCCCTTCTCATGCTTCTAGGTAGAAGCCTAAAATTGGCAGAAAACCATAAAATGTATAGACGCCGCTTCTATGTATAACCTTTGACTGTGCCCTATATCTACACCAATCGTCCTACGTCTACCCAAGTATAAGACAGTCTAACTAACATGACTGGCAGATCTACCGAGGACATGACTCTATATAATCTCTGTCTCCAGTTCCAGTTCGATGTGTATCTTTATTCACAAAATATATATTGTCTGCAAACACGAACCAATATATATCGAGCTATAGTAGCCAGCGATCACCCATTACCCGCACCCGAATTATTTTTTTATTACTCGACGTAATAGTTTTCATTCTATACTAGCTGCATCCGCGTCAAAGAGCTCCAATGAAAAGTATTTAAACAGATACGAAAAGCTGAGATGCCATGTAATTCCTGTTTCACGAAACAAACTCATCATCATGGTAGGAACGCATCCTCGGTTGAACATGTTTTTGGAACACAGTATCGATTTTGGCTTTGGTTTTTGGTATGAGATCGAGAATGTAAAAGAAGCACACAATTGTGGCCGCGAGCGACAATCTACCAAAGATAAATCCGATTTTAGCTTTGAGGTTCTGCAGCAAACGAAAACATCTATGAAGGAAAAGATCAACACATCCCTGCATCAAAATCCACCATATATGACACCACAAAGAATATGATGATGCCGAAAATGGCTTGTGTGGCCGTGGCCGTCGCAAGAGTAGTGGTTCTTACACGAAGAGTGACTGATGAGACTTCACCAAGAAGAACGACAGCCATTCTCTGCCATCAATAGTGGCTGGTTTCGATGACAATGTCGAATCGGACATCCTTAGATTTGTGTTGTGAGGCCGAGAAACATACCAGCTTGAGCTAATCTCATGGCCTTTTATTTTGGCTATGCTTGGGCAGCTACCTTCATCGCCGGCGGAGACAATGGTACCTGGCTCATGATGCACTCTTCGGCCCCAAGCGCCGCCATTCTTCTTGTCGTTGCAATTAACTCGTCCACCTACGATCTGCTTCCGCATGGATGGCTCAAGGTAGTCAAAGATACATCTGATATGTTGTACTGCTGGTACGTAGAAGCCAAAGGGATGGAGGGAAAGGTTGAGTTGTTCAGATAGCCAGATAGCTTCTTTCAAATTTCCAGCATTGATCTCTAGATGTTTGTACAGACTGGTTAACTAATTTCCCTTTGATCCCAAATTTCTGCATGTTTGATTTTGTATACTTCAAAAGAAATATAAGATATACGTCATATCGCATCGAAGCCATATTTTGTCCAGTCAGTTTCCACCTTCCTTTGAACCTCAATAGGATATGAACCCTTGAAAGATCCAACCTTCCAAGGAAGCTCTTCATCAACAAACTCGCACGGAAGCATGCAACACTTCACTACCTTTTTGTTGTTGCGGTCTGGCTTTTGACCGTATGCAACATACGGAATTAAGGGAATATTTCCATATTCATCAAACAGAAACTCGCAAGTTCCAGCCTCACAGCGGGTAGCCTCTGCCCATATCAGGTCCCGAAGATCAGTAGGATCAATATCCTCTCCGACTAAGAACACCTTTGGGATGTACCATCCAGGCTTTGAGCCAAATACCACATGCCCAAGTTTGGTGGAAAATTCATCCATGTTGGTATTCAAGTCGCAAAGCTTCTTTCGGTCGACTTGAATGGCGAGCCAATGCGCATGCGATTCAAAGGGACACCAAACCATTTGAATGGGCAACCCAGCACTTTGGCAAATACTCAATACCTCCGCAGCTATCATCACCGCCCACACGGTATGACTCTCTTCGGTGGCTCGTCCAGTAATACAGATGGGTAGGATTGGATCTTCACGGTAAGTGATGGCATTCACTTTGAAAATCGGACACTCCTTGGTGCGTCCTGGATAGACCAAACCGTGATACTCCATCATCGGCCCTTCCGGTGCAGTCTCAGATATCGAAGCGAATCCCTCCATCACAATTTCTGCATTTGCAGGAACACGAAGATTATTTGTTTCGCACTTGACCACGTCCACCGGCTTTCCAACCAGAGCACCGATGTACCCAGCCTCATCTTGCCCCTTGGGAATTGGCATACCGCCCACCATAATCGCGGCTGGTGGAACTCCAAAACACAAGGCCCATGGCATATCCTGCCCGATGGCTCTCCACTCCTCAAAAATGACCCCGATATCTTGTTTTGGGATGATCGGTCCAACAAGTGTACGCTTGCCGTGGACCATAGCCCGCGTGATGGACCAGTTCGTCCAAGTTCCATTTGGCTTTTGGACAATATGCATGCCAAAAGTTTCTATGAACTTCCCACCATCATGCTGGTGTAAAAGAGGAGTCGGAAGAGTGGTGAGATCGATTTCGTCGCCGAACATCTTATATTCTTTGACTGGCCCAGACTCGACTCCATTGGGAGGCAGCGGCTGAAGGTTCTTAGCTTCATTGATTTTGTTAATAATTTCCCTCCCTGTTGCAGAGGAAGGTAGCCCTAGACTTTTCGCAATCCGCCCAAGTCTCTGACCAGGAACGCGGCTTAGTCCCACGGGTGCTCCAAGGACGCGGAAGAGCCCGTTGCCTTTCCGACCCATGATGTTTTCGAACAGGGGTGCTTTATCCTCGGTTTCATAGACCCTGCGAGTTATTGCCGCAAGCTCCATTTCAGGATCTATCTCTTCTTTGATAATGAGAAGGTCATTTTCATCATCGAGCTCCTTTAGAAACTGGCGTAGGTCCGCAGCCGCTTCTGAATGGGTTTGGTACGATATCATGATGTGTCAACACAAAATGGTGAAATATGGAAGATGGAAGGTGCGACTCTGGAGTCCGCTATACAACGATACTCTCATTATGCAATGGTATATGCTTTACATGATGGGGGTACCCCGATTTGGAGATCGACTGCAGCTATGTAACAGGATTTGTGCAACACTTGGCACGATCGACATTACATCTCACACCAAAATTGTGGCGTTCTGAGGGAACCTAATCAGGAATTGCGCATGATGCACTGACGTTAGGGTCTACACTCTGCCCATTTTAGGAACTACGAACACTTATCTGGGATATCTTCATGTGAACAGTTTGCTTTCTGTCATGATCGTTAACCTCGTTTTCATCCCTGATCTTATTCCTGACTACCCATTCTTTGACCATGGACGTTCTCAAGTCTAGCTCCTATTACACCGCGCCCGCTGAAAGCCATACTCAACGTTTGCCCCCAAGAAAAAGAATCATCGTTGCCCTCACTGGTGCAACGGGTTCTATTTTAGGGATCAAAACACTCATTGCTCTGCGCCAACTGAACGTGGAAACCCACCTGGTGGTCAGCAAATGGGCCAAGGCGACTATAAAATATGAAACCGACTACACCATTTCTAATATACGAGCCCTTGCGGACTATGTATATAGCACCAATGATATGGCTGCGCCTATAGCGAGTGGATCATTTCGTGTTGACGGTATGATCGTCGTGCCCTGCAGTGTCAAAACACTGGCATCAATCAGCTCAGGTATCTGCGATGATCTCATTTCCCGTGCAGCAGACGTCATCCTCAAGGAGCGACGTAAGCTTGTTTTAGCAGTGAGGGAAACTCCCCTGAGCTCCATCCACCTACGCAATATGACCACTGTAACGGAAGCTGGCGCTATCATCTTCCCTCCTGTGCCAGCTTATTATATCAAGCCCTCGTCAATAGATGACTTGATTGACCACAGTGTTGGCAGGATGTTGGATCTTTTTGATCTGGATACAGCAGGATTTGAGAGATGGACGGGGTGGAAGAAAGAGTGACATGTCTTGATGGTGACTGTCGATCATCAATATTGCGACTGCGGGGTATACCGATTTTATTGTAAGATTGCAAGTTTCCGCAAACATTGGAATATCATATCTGTGAACGTAAATCAATATCCGTGAAAAAAAGGGGTGGACTAAGGGTAGGTTGCTTGTCAGTTTAGGTTGAGTATTTTCCGCAACTATATAGAGACGGGATCATGATAGACTCAGCCTCACTGAGGACTGTCATGGCCTAGACATCATCTGTGGTGCCTTCATCGCGACTTCAAAAGCGTTGGAATTCCTCGAAATCCAAGACAGCGCTCACACCGTCTTTGACAAGGGACAATACCGTCAGGAGGCCTCGATCTGGATCACCGATCATCCCGTTGTTGGGGTTTCCGACTTACAATAGCCCATCTTGTTCAGAGGTAACGATAAAAATACCAACAATTGCTGAAATTATGATACTATCACAAGAAACTGTATATATGATGTGAAGACATGGTAATATTTCATACATATAGTCCCGAGAGAGTCCAAACACAGTAGTTACATGACCACCTAGTCGCCATTCTCACCGCAAGCTTAATAGTTTCCAATATGGCAGCATTCAGCAATTGGTTACAATCTCTACTCAAATGGGCCCTCGGTTATCCTTGAGACCGAGCCGAGGAACCAGAATATGAACATCCCCTAGAGCACCGTAATTAGCTCCAGATATTCTTTCTACCCGCGCACCTCATCATGTCCGAGAACATTTACACTCGTTTCAGGGTCACTATTTCTGAGCCATGCATAGCTGATGTTGAGTCGATCGGCCGGACCAGTTTAACGGAATTATCCCAAAGTAGAAAAGTCCAAACCTAGGACTTGGTTCATGGCGATTCTAACATGATTTAGTGTATGGCTGGAACTACTCCCCACCAATAGGTCCAACTAACTCGTGTTGTTAATGTCAGACCACCACGATGTGTATCCCACTTGCTCCCTCGGAGCATCCCAACCAGCTTCTACAGAAGCTAGGCGCCTCCCACAATCCGGACTATTTTCGATCATCTCTCTACAGACCCCTCTGTCTGTGTAGTGATTTTCTCACGGTCTGACGAAAGAGCATATTCAGTTGGCATAGATCTTGAATGGGCTTCCAAAGAAGGTTCATCTTTTAGTCCCCGACCGGACAAGCATGTTGACCCCGCCAGACGTGCCACCGCCCTCAAACGGTTAGGAGTTGAGTTTCAGGAGTATATTAAAAGTATTGAGAAGTGCGAGAAACGTATGGAACCCTATTTTCTGTTAATTACATCATTCACCACCTTTGTGCAAACTCAATGCATATAATTGAACTATTCATGCTGGCAACAAACCATCCATATAGCTGTTATTTGTGACGTACATGGTTTTGCACTAGGAATGGCAGCCGATTTGTGCTCAGCTACTGATATTCGAATTTGCTCCAAAGGCACAATATTCTGTGTCTAGGAGGTTGACATCGGAATTCTGGCACGGCTGCCCAAATTTGTAGGGTCGTACAGCTGGGTCAAAGACGTGGCGATGATGGGACGAAACTTTGATGCGGATGGGAAGAAGCTCTTGAAGAAGCGTTTAGGATTGCCAGAAATCTGAGCGAAAAGAGCCCGGTAGCTGTACGGATGGTCAACCATTCCTTGGATCACAGTCAAGATCGCACCGTTGCAGAGGGTATGTATAAAACTTGATTCCGGCTCCTTCATGTGCAACAAGGGACACCAATGTTAATAACTTATTAGGGTTTCAATACCAGCTGGCTTATAATACCGCAGTACTTCAAACAACGATGTTCCAGTTGCTATAAAGGTCTTGATGTCGAAGATGGTACCGACTTTTGAGAAGCTCTGGTGAGAATATAAAGGCAGTACCTCCTAGTTTCATTATTCAAATTTCATGTAGTTGGAGATGCTACAATTTGTCAGAGTTTCATGGCAGCCATTAGATTATCACCACGTCACCAGTATCCATCTCACTTCTGTTGATTAGTCCTTTCTTCTTTTAGCCACCATCAGCTCTTGATGTAATGTCAACAGTCTCACTTAATGTACAAGAGCGAAATATCTACTGAGTACGACTGCTTCGTATATTGAGGGCATTACTCTCAAGTACGGCAGGTTTTTGGGTCCATCGTGCCAACCGGCTTTCTCGCTGAGAGAAGTTAACCAGCAGTTATGAATCAACATTTATACTTGTGTATGTAGTCTTCTAAAAGTCTAGAAATATCCCGTATCAAAGGTGTCCCACTAACAAATGACGGGATAACTAGTTCGCCTTTGGATTCTAAAAGACTCCAGAAATGACCTTAAAAAAGACCGATAAGCTAGACTTTCTCTACGGGATGTACGACCTAGTGATTAAGATTAGGACAGGACTGATACGACAAACCTAAAAGGACCCCTTTCGCCCTCTGCTCAGGGAAAACTGACCCACATCATCCGCTCTCAGTGGGAGCAGTGGAAATTATTCAAGGGCGATCACCAGGGGATCGTATAATGTATCGACAAACGAGTGTGTCAATCTACTAGAGGAAATTCCCATATACGCTGACTTTAAGTATGTCTGTAAGGCTCTGCCCCTAATAGTCCGTATAATACCTGGACGTTCCTGTATCTAGTATGTGACGTCATTGAAGAATTTAGGTGGAGTTTTTCGTGGACGCAGGACAAGGGCGTAATTTGCCATCCACTGAGGTACCGGTCGGGACAATTGAAGCATCACATATCAGAGATGATAATATCTTTCCCGAGTTTAATTCGACCCAGGGTCAAAAGTCTCCGACAAGCCTGGTCTTCGGAGGAATTACACCGCTTGCTCCATATCAAATATTGGATTTGTGGATATTTTGCTCGGAGGATCACCCTCTATGGTTTAGCTTGACACGAAATTCCCAACTTCTAGCCGGATGACTCGGCAATAGTAGTGAGTTTGGGTTCGATGGCTGCTAACCTTGGAACTGATCGACGCAACGTGCAGAATTCTCTAGAACAACTTTAATGCTTGGATCCACACCTAGCAGAGATTTCATTGGTGATGTGTAAGGACGGAAAATGGCGCGGCTCAGGGCCCACGTGGACATGTACATCCAAGACATGTAAAACCTGTAAGTTATAGAAAGATATTTGATATAAAAGGCCATGTGTCTTGTCTGTCCTCTTAGCGCTATTATTCTTCATTTTCCCACAAATTCATAATTTACTTACTATAATAATGAGTGTCACTTTCGAGGTTTTCCGCGGCTCCAAGGAGGGCAAGATCGTGGCCGACAAGACCACCCGTACCCTACAGCCCAACGAGGTCTACATCGAGACAACACACTCCGGTCTATGCGGCACAGATGAGCATTACCTCTCTTCCGGCATGGCTCTCGGCCATGAAGGTGTCGGTATCGTTCGCCAGCTCGGCCGGGACGTCACCAATGTAAAGGTTGGAGCCCGCGTAGGATACGGATACACACACTACGTGTGTGGAAACTGTTCAAAGTGCTTGACGGGTACGAGTTCCCCCCAAAACAAGATCAACAAGTTGACTAATAGTAATCAAAAACTAGGCTGGGACCAATACTGCGAGAATAAGAAGGAATATGGCTCTCACGACCACGACCTGGGCTCGTTCAGCGGCGGCACCGTTTGGGACGCTGGATGTGTCGTCCCCATCCCGGACGGCTATGAATCTGCCGATGCCGCGCCCCTGATGTGCGCCGGCGCCACCGTCTGGACCTGTCTGACGGAGTACGGTGTCAAGCCAACGGACCGGGTAGCTGTCATGGGTATCGGTGGTCTTGGCCACCTGGCAATCAAGCTCGCTTCAGCAATGGGTTGCCATGTTGTTGTTTTATCGAGCTCGGAGGCGAAGCGCGAGGAGGCTCTGAAGTTCGGTGCGTCTGAATACCACGTCTTCCGCAAGGGCGAGGAAATGAAGGACTTCAAGCCTGTGAACCACCTGCTGCTCTGCGGCAGCGCCAATGTCGACTACCCTAGCCTGATCCCGCTTATGGACGTGCATGGCTCAATCTACCCCTTGACAGTCGACTTTGCTCCCTCACCGGTTCCCCTTCTGTTCATGAATATCAAGGGTATCCGTATCCAGGGTTCGCTTGTTGCATCGCGCCGCAGTCTGCGTACATTGCTTGAGTTTGCTGCCGCTAAGAAGATTACCCCAACTAGCATGACGTTCCCCTTGACCAAGGATGGTGTCGAGGCTGCTATGCAGACTCTACGTGATGGAAAGATGAGATACCGCGGTGTTCTGGTTCGGGAGTAAACAATGATGGCCATCGATAGAGAGGTTTTCATAGCCAGCATGTATTATATTGACACTATTAGCATAAATTTTATAGATATGGCAAGTGCAGGTGCAACACAAGCGAAAGTGAGATAATACGTGAGGTATGCTTAACATTATGGCGGTCGATGTAGCTAATGAGACGCTTGAGGGAGGCAGGCTGCCGCGAGATCTTTGACCCGATAACTTCAACAGCAAGTTTTCGTCCTACGATCGCATGACCTGCATCATTAAAGGCTTAGTACCGTTCTACGACGATATTGCCGTATCTGAAATCAACAATACTGAGTGAAGGCTAGTCTGCTGTGAGTTTACGACATACCTCAAACAAATACCAAGCGTGCCGAGGATAGCAAGACGAAGCCCCACGCCACTTATTGTAAAATAGGTGCCGTTATTGAGTTTTGACAGAAGAATCAGGATATAAGATATCAAATCTGAACATATAAGGCAGAATTTGCCTGGTTAGGTCCCTTATACAGGTCAGCTGACAGAGCGGACTCAGCGGCGCTCCTGAAGGCATCTGGGAACTTGTCCTGTCACCACAAAGATTCTGGCAACGTGAATCACCTATTAAGCAATACATACCATGACATCTGATCTTCTGAATGATTCAAAAAAATTATTGATGCCGGATTAAAACCCATGCTACAGCTCGCTGGCATTTGACTTTCTTAACACCACTGACTTTTCCACTCTTCGCGCTTGCTCCTACAAAGATTTGCCCTTCTATATTTATCACAAAATGCCCGATCACCCTCAAGAACTCACAAGGCAGACCCGCCAATTGCTTCTTTTTCAGATGTTGACTTAATACCGAACAATACATCAGTGGAGGCTACATCACCCAAAGACCCCATGATCCCAGAGAAAAGAGTGAATGCCAGGAGGGGCTAAATGATGGCATACAGAAGGGCTAGGAGTAAGGTTAAGAAGGAGGCTGCGATTCAGCGAGAATCTCAGTCGAGACAAGGTCTCAACCCTCTCGCAGCACCATAGACTGGAAGGATACCAGAAACGACTCAATCCAAGCAATCACCCCAAAGAATTCCCATGGAGCAGGCTACTCCTCAGAATCAATTTACCGGACCAGCTACCGCAGAGTCCATTATCAACCACCTCTCCAATCTCGATTTACAACACTCAGCCCCTCCATACCTGATCTATCACTTCTTCTACGGAACACTAGCAGTACCTTCACTCCTCCAGCAAATCATTTATCTACCAGATAAACAGAAAGTACGCAAAGCTAATGTCATCGGATACACCATTGCCGAATGGGGCGACTATCCCGCTATAATAGAGGGTCATCCTTACCAGGAGATCGACGGGTATGCATACATCGTGCAATCCGAGGAATAGGCATTGGTACTTGTCAATTATGCAACGAAAGCTTATGAGTCATCGCGCTGCTGGATCTATTTCACCGATGGGAAGAGGCCTGCTGGGTTGGTGGTATGACGTTCATGTATGGTGGGGACACGAATGCTTTGGTAGCAGCGATTTGATCTGAATCTTTAGAATCGGCAGATATGTAGGAATCTAGGTTGCTCTATGGACAATTTGGAATCCCAGAGTACTCCGTAGAGATAGAGACATTGCTGAAATTGGGTACTCTGTGAGCAATCAAAAGCGGCAATATGTGAGCACTAAAATCAAAGGGGAAAGGCTTCGAGTGCCAGGCATTACCTGGTATGTGATAAGCGGCTGCATAGGCTTCCCTGTCCTGAAAGACCCACATCAATGGCGAGGGCCGAAGTTAAGAATTGAGATACACAAGAATAGTTGACCGCTTATGCGATACTGTGATGTCTTTTCGGTGGTCTTCTCAGATATTCTGCTTGGATATCTTTAAATATTTTCTCCCCTTTCTTAGTTCTATAGGTAGGTAGACAGGAGAGAGAAAGAATGGGCTTAATGTGTGACACGTTATCTATGTATAACCTAGGATATAGTTTTGACGGCGAGAGACGACCAGCACTCCTTGCAGCCATGATTGTACACCAGAATGTGTAGAATCCTAAACTAAAGGTGGTTTGTAGAATGAAGACGAAATTCTATGACTTTAGTGCGAAAAGTTGCATGAGATTTGCAGTCTGTATGATTGGTAGAAATGGGCATCGGAATGGACAGGTCAAATTGTGTGAAATTAGGGCACCGGGGTGCACGAGACCATCGAGGCACGTGAAAAGGTGTACGGAGTACAGAGTCTCAGATTAAAAGCAAATCCACCTGTGGACCTCGCGTGGACCCCCCGTGCGCCTTTCGATCTGATCCGATCTTTGATACTTAGTATACCTTCCAACGTACTCCGTACTCCCATCAAAGCTCACGTTAAGCCGAAGGCTCGGGTTAGTGCGGCGAACTGTGCGTACACGACCCACCGTTCATCTCGCGCTTTTTCGCAGATCAAGGGAATTCAGAGCTCTCGAAGCTCTCGATAAGTGGGATTTCGGCAATTCCTCAAATCCCACAGGCCAATCAGAAGCCAACCAGGAGCCCTTATAACCTTATGGAGCCAGGGGCATCCAAAAGGTTCAAATTCCTCTGATCGACTGGAATGATCTGCTTTAGCGCGGAATGAGCCTCGTGTTTATTTCTTTTTCTCCTCCTCCACGCTCTTTTGGTGAGTTCTATATTTGTGCATGGAGATCGGACTCGGCTGATCAGAGCTTCATTTCAGCTTGCCCCCACTAATTCTACCATCCCTCCACACTCCCTCCTGACCACTCCCCGAGATAAATTTTCCAGGGCCTACTACAGCCTGACTAGCACCAACGAAACTGCCTGATGGGCTTGGCTTGAAATGCAAACATCCCGCACTCTCGACGGACCTTGAATCACCGACCGCCCATTTCCCGAGGATATGGCTACCACTGCCCCCCTCAGTGCGAAAAGCAAGCTTGCTGGACCCAGCGCATCCTTGAAAATCACTCCTTCGAACTCTCCAGTCCTCCGACCAGGGACGCGATCCCCCAGCAAAACCGCTCATCAATCCTTCTTGTCCCTCCAGACCGTTATCGGCACAACAACAACCACACCCAATGGCTTTTCAAGCCATGATCAGAGCAGAAGCTTTGCGCTATGCGCTGGATCAGCAGCGGTTCTCGCAGAATTAGACGAGAACGACAACATAACACAGCGCTTCTTCCGAGCCCGCCCCTCCGCGACCAGCGTGAACCCATCAACTTCTTTTTACAACCAGTCAACTCCGCCGGCTACCCCGGACCCGAGATCACGATCAATTTCCCATATTCGATCCAACCCGCACCTCAATATTCCCAATGGGTCTCCGTCAAGCGAAGTTATCGACAGCGGCAGTCCACGCGGATGGTCTTCGAGAGAAAGAATCAAAGCAGTGACGAGTGTTTCGATCAGCCCGAATGGAAGGTTCCTCGCAGTAGGGGAGGTAAGTGGAGGGAGTTGATATAAACTATTGCAGAACAGCAGCTGACGGCGTCAAGACTGGTTATAATCCTCGAGTTTTAATATTTTCGACAGCGAGAGATGCTTTGCCGGATGTTCCTCTATCCATTCTAAACGAGCATACATTCGGTGTTCGCAGCCTAGCGTTTAGCCCCGACTCTCAGTATTTGGCAACGCTCGGTAATCCAAATGATGGATTCCTCTTTATCTGGGCAATAAATCTTAAAAATGGGTCGGCCAAGCTACACTCCGCGAATAAATGCACCTCGTTTATCAAGGATATGTGCTGGGTCGGCCAGAGCTTGGTCACGTATGTTTGATCGGATGCTTAAAACTAGCAGTCAGCTAATATCGTTGCCCAGGACCGGTGTACGACATGTGAAAGTCTGGCGTCTTCCCACGGTGCTTCGGCCTGTTTCACCGACCAAGTCACGTTTGAATATCGAGGGAGTTGGTCCCTCGCCCAATCCTGCCCCGAAAGCACTATCTGGCAGGAATTGCCTACTAGGCGCACTGGGCGACAACAGCTTCACGTGTGTGAACAGTATCTCGCACAACGAGGCTGTCATCGGCACAGATTCAGGGGCACTTTGTTTTCTCGATGATCGCGAGGGTTCCCAAAAGATGATCACGGTGAAGCAAGTTGGATTCAGCATCACATCATTGGCCGTGGACTTTGACCAAGAGTCCATATGGCTAGGTGGACGAGGAAGGCACATGCAGCGGGTGCCATTTGAAGTTCTACGATCATCCAGTTCATACACGCCGATGTCTCCTGCCCGCTTTGACAAAAGCGCAGTTGATAAGAAAAGCAAGACACCGGCAATTACTTGCATGGGGTCTCTTAATTCCCATTTGGTCACTGTTGAATCTACCCGCGCGATCCATGTGTATCCGATTGACACTTTGGGCGAAGATGGTGAACAGGAGGAGGGCGAGTCTTCCATGCCTGCTCATCGAGATCCGATTCTTGGCATTTGCCGCATGGATTTCCCAAACGACTTGTCCGCAGACTTCTTCACGTGGTCTCGTAATGGTTCGGTGAACTTTTGGGATGCTGAAGGCAAATGTCGAGGATCGAAGAATATCGACCTTGACCAATACCCTGGAAAAGAAGACGATGCGGCAAACGAACTCAAAGTTTTGAGGACTGCTGAAAATGCGGACTGGTTTGTCTCTGGTGACAAGTTTGGTGTATTGAGGTATGTGTGAATTTGAGATAGTAGCCAAGCTCCTCAGCTGACTCTGATGCAGAACCTTTTCAAACTCCGACTGGACTTGCCTTGACCAGGCGCGCGCCCATGGCGGAGAGATCACAGATGTGGCCATCCAAAGCATGGACCATATCTGGTTGATAGCTAGCTCAGGGCGTGATCGGATGGTGCAACTCTTCGAGAAACGAGACATGGAGTTGCAGTTGATTCAAACCATGGACGATCACGTCGGAGCTGTTGGACAATTGATGTTCATCAACGAGGGCGAAAGGCTTCTTTCGTGCTCCGCAGACCGCACCGTTGTCATAAGAGATCGCGCGACACGCGAGGCGGATTGTGGCACGTCTGTTGCCTACCTCATTTCAAGGGTCATCACTCAAAAGGCTTCCCCCGTGTCAATGACACTGTGTTCAGACGACTCGAACATTTTATACCTTTCTACTATGGACCGTTGTGTTTCGAAATTCGATATCCCCTCCGGGCGCCAACTTCACTGTTTCAAGGCATCTGATTCGGAGGCAGCCGATGCGGTGGTTTTGTGTTCATTGACAGTTGCCTCTGAAATCTCAGGTCAGACCCCCAAGGTTCTTATAGGTGTTTCGAGCACCGACAAATCTATTCGCGTCTATGATCTGGAGCGAGACCAGCTCCTCACTGGTGAATTTGGCCATACAGAAGGTGTCACCGATGTGTTACTTCTTGAGGAACGTGATAAATCCGATGGTTCCCAAACCAAACGCACAGTGGTCAGTGCCGGTATGGATGGTATCCTGATGATATGGAACCTAGCTGTCCAGCAACATGTCTCCCCGGACTTCATCGGGAACACACGCGAGGACGACGAAACTCCCGTAAAAGAAATCACAGCGGCGAGACTCCCTCTCCGAAAAGTCCTTTCCCGCAGCGAGCTCGCCGGATTCCAACGACCGGATAGCCCAAATCCTACAACACCAACACCTATACGCGAACACTCACCAACCCTACTCCGCAAGCTATCTCGACTATCTCTAGCACCATCATCACTAAAAAACCATTCCGTCTCAGAAACACCATCCCCCTCAAACCGCCTCTCCCCAACACAACGCACACCCCAAGACCGACACCGCCGGTCCCCATCCCCAGTAAGCCCGAAATCCAAAACCCCAACACCGCGAAAACCCCACAGCGCAAGAACTACCAACCGGCGCACATCCCTCGACTTCCGCAACCGCAGCAAAACGACCCCGCGCAGCGAGTTTGGAAGTCTAGATATGTCGACCGAACAGCTGTGTCGGACTCTGCGAGCGTATCGCAAGAAACTCAACAGCTCGAGTCAACGCATCCAAACGCAAAAGGAACTCGAGCGCGAACTCAGTCTCACACTACGCATTGTTGGTGGTCGTGGACAGAGCAGTGATGAGAGCGCTGAGAGCGCCGAGACAGAGACGGATAGTAGCGGTAAGGATATGGAGAGGGAGCGGAAACAGAGCTATTCGGCTGTGTCCAAGTCGCCTCGTATTCCTCATCGTATGCCGTCTACCCCGTCGTTGCGGTATAAGGGGACACGGCAGGTTTCGCGGAGTCGCTCTTGTGATACGAACAGGGAAGAATGAATTTCATTCCTTCATTAAGGAAAGACATTGCATCTCTGGTGTTTTATGGCTTCGGTCTAATTGCTACACCGCTTTTATATCTCATTCCCTTGATCCTATCTTTTCTTTCTTTCTTACTGGCATTTTGGCCTGTGCATTCTTTTGGAATTTCTCTTTTCGTTTGCCTCTTTGCATCTATGCATCATCTACTGGGTTTTTGGTGGACGATCTTTCTTTCTACTTCATGATTTTTTTTAGAGATCATTTCCCTTCTGATGATACCCATATTTACCTTTTCAGAGGCTGTACGTCACCTCACCTTGATCAAGATCATTGAGCCCTTTCTTTTACTTTCTTTTGATCGGGAAAATATAAGAATACTTAATTCATCTCAATTCATCTCAGCCTAGCACTTCACTACACACATTCCTCCGCCTAACCACAACCCTTTTCAAACATCATCGAATATCTCCATCCGATCATCAGCCTAACCTCGACCAGTAGCGTCTTGATAAATGCTTCTTTCTCACTACACGCATTCTCACCATGAACCCACTGGGATTATCCAGATCAAGTCAGTCCGACAACTCAAGGTCTCAAATCAAACCAAGCTTCCCACCCTAGTCTGAAGCGTCCGGACCAGCTGTCTTCCCTGGAGACCAGGCGCAAGCTGAGCAATACGAATAGCCTTGTTCGCCCAACGCTGACAGTCCTCGTCCTGTGTAGCACGGTAAAAGTCAGTGGCCTTATTAAAAGCTACTGTAGCAATCTTGATCAATTCCGCAGCTGGATATGTAAACTCATCCCTCAGTGTCGAGTCGGGCTGAATGGAATGCAAATCCTGCTGTTCGTGTTTAACCTCTTCAACGCCGGCCTCTTTGTCTACTATTGCAAGGACTCTATCGAGCACTTCTTCAGCAACCTCAGCGTCGGCCATTTTGACATCCAGAATGTCAATTCCAGTAATGTTTATGTGTCGGGGCGGTCCGACAGCTAGAGAAAATAGACAATGGAGGTATCGGGGCAAGGAAACCCGGAAATCGCGTTGGAACGTGGTAGGGGGATCATCTTGTAGCTCGCTGAGTTTTGACATGATGCGCTATTGTATGAATGTCAGTAGTTGTTCGGAGAATGTAGTACCCCGTTCATAAGAGTAGAGCGCACCTTGACGATCTGAATCGCCACTGTGGGTGGTAGATTCCATTGGAAAGTCAAATCTATGATCGGTGCGTAAAACTCCGGCTTGGGGAATTCATCGTCCGATGCACAGATGTCGAAGATATCACCCCAGTGCCTGAGATACATGGCAGCCTCAAGGTCAAAAAATTGCGCAATGTCATGGTGCCTGTCTTCTTTCTCGTTCGCGGCCTCGTCTGTCTCCTCTTCTCCGTCTTCCCAACCGTGCAGCTGATCGAAATCGATGAAACAAGTGCGTACATTCAGGTAATGCGTTATCTGCAGATAGTCAGTATGGTCATCATGGCCTATGCTGTTGTGACATTTCCGAGGAAAGGCGGGTCTGTCTAAAGAACGGTTGAAACCTACCTTGTGATTCAGATTGTTCTCGCAACGGGCTTTAAGGGAGTGCGCAAGAAGACGGAGGTAAACAACCGCAAATAAATGCTGTCTGGGTCCCTTGGAACCCATCTCGGGGTATGCAACCCGCCGATATTGAAGCGCAAACTGAAAACACATTAGTAAACATTGCCAAACATACACTTTGCATGGGTTTAAAACAGACTTGTCTGGAGTAATCCAAGACAGAAGTACTCCACAGGAATCCAGAAGAATTGATAAGTTTCAAAGCGAGTTTGTAAGATGCGAAATACAGCCATTGCAGTTGGGTGACTGAGATTTCCTGGTCGCCACCTTCAAACATGCTGTTCTCTTTTGCATAAGACAGAGCTACCAAACGGTCAGCATCAAGAGATTGGTATATCTTGAGGGGAAAACACACCACTCTGGAGTACAGTCTCGATACAGTTGCCAAGCCTCTGAGTGAAGCCTCTGGAAAGCTCTTGGAGAAGAAGAGTGATTGCAAATCTGTTCAGGACAAGTTAGTCTTATACACGAAGTCATATATTTCAAGCATTCTCACATGTAATGCTCAGCGGCGGGAAAGTCGTGATGGTAAATATCATCCGCAATCAAACATTTAGTAAATTGATCAAGACAGTTCATTACTTCTTCTGGTTTATTTTGTCTCTGAGCCTCCATGGCGCACGATAGTAGACTCATTTGCTTGTGCGGCACGGGGTGCACAGGAAAGCCGAGATAAAAATGCCCTTTCACATAGTTAGAGTAGACCAGAAGCATCAAGGTTCCATAATTTATTCATACCGGAGCCGTCTCTCCCCTCCAGCAAGCTTAGCTTGTAGGACAAATACAGCCGTTCGCAGTCCACCTGGCTTTGGATTAAACCCCGATCCATTAAGTGACGAGCAGCAGCGAGGTTTCCAGTCTGTAGATAACATGCTAACAGCTTCCTGAAGAGACGTTAGCCCGCAATGCAAGTTAGACGTCAACCTTTCTTCCACTGACTTTTGTATAGCGATCTGGATAGATTGGCAGCAGTGCTGAAAGATCTTCGGTTCGTTGCACATCTGAAGCCAGAGTTGTGCAGTCCAGTAGTCGTTCTTGAGAAGAGCACCGCCAGTCATTTTCCAGATGCACTGTTTGTAACTAGTCAGCTATTTTCATTGACCATAATGAGAGGTCACCTTACAATCACGGTGGCGTGAGCTGCGCTGGCGCTGATTGATGGATATCCACGTTGCTCGAGTGCGTCGATCACATCCCGAAGATTGCGAATGCGAATGGAATCAGAGCATTCCGATCTGCTCAAAAGTAGCGTGAAAGCAACAAAACATTTCTCTATCCATTCTCTTGATGGTAGAGGGCGCATGAGCAATATTCTAAGTGCTTCCATCCCGTTGTCTGAACCACTATACAACCGTCAGCAAATTCTTCGTCAGATCGGATGTATCAAGGTACCCTGCATCTCCAAGAGAACGGGCAAATTGGAAAATTCTGGATCCACTGTTAATATCCACGAAAAATGACCAGGTCAAGACTGGTGACATAGCTCACATTGGCATATTCATATCTGTGAGAGTCGTCTTCTCGACCAGCCTCTGCAGACCTACAACATTATGGTTAATTCCATTCCATTCCAGATCAAGATCAGTCTTACCTTGGAGTATTCCGTGGCTACCAGGATTATTATGTCCCATAGAGAGATCAAAAAGGACCACAGCAGGATGCACTGAGTAATTCTAGAAAAGTCAGTTTCAATTCTAGTAAGTACACTCTTCACAACGTACTTTTCTCAGGAATCTCATTTGAATATCGTACGTTACGGTTGACTGGGGGCTTTTGGTTTGAGTACAAGCCACAGCTGTAGGTGGTTAGTCCGGCGGATCATCAACTTGATTAAACCAAACCACACCACTCACCGAGGGAATGTCGAACAACCAGGTTCCAGTTATCTTGATCTGAAAGCTTCATCACACCCATAATGGATGAAACTTCCAATTGATCGTTCGCTCTTTGCAGCCATGTCACTGCAATGTCAAACTGGCGCCGTGCGAGTGCAGAGTCGCCAATGATAAAACAAGTTTCGAAAACCGCCTCTTGGTCATCTGACAAAGCAGGCAGAGAGATTTTATTAAAGAAATGCTCGGCGATATCTACTCGGTCCTGCAGCCAGGCCTGTAATACTATGTCAGTCCTGATGTTGACACACAAAACAGTGTTCCGACAAGACGACTCACCAGTCGAGCACGGAGTAAGTTGTATCGAGTGGTGAGGTTGCGGTTAATGGTAGGATCAAGGCCAAGATGAGCAGGCTGAATACTTGCCAGTCTCAGAGCTGCGATTGACAAGATATTCAGCGCAATGTCGCGTTGCTGATTCACTGTACTTGTTGTTAGATCTGATGAAGTCATCAAGTGCGATATAGGATGGTGTACCAATGCAAATACGGGCCGCCTTGAGGGCCAGATCAAGAGCCCTGATACTCCCTGTAAAACTTCAGATAAGCCCACTTCAATATATACTAGGGGCGATGAAAAACCTAGGAGATCAGGCAACACAGCCATGTTCAACACAGCAAACGCGAGAGCCCTCACTTTGCCGAGCACCAACACATTATCCGGATTTTGACCATGCAATGCCATCAGCTCGATGCAGTCATTCCATAGCAATGTGCCAGTCGTATCCAGCTCCTCGTTGCCCGATGTCATTACCACGAGACCAAACGGGTTGCGGTTGAGCTCGGCATCCAGTCTGAGCATGACATTGGGAGAGAGAAGAGGACTTCCTGAAGCACCGACTGTGGATAAGATTGTATGCAGATTGTAAGCAAAGTCTAAGGCAGAAAAGCTTGATGGTTAGCTACTGTATATCGGGGGCGACATGATGTGTGCCTCATACCTGCCAGAGCCTGGCGTGGTCCAGACAGTTGCGCCATGGGGATTACTTGGGAATTGGAGAGAGGGGAAGAAAAGCATGAAAAAAAAGAGTCGAGAGAAGATACAAGAACAGTCGAATCAGGGGTAACGAAAGGGTTAAGAGAATAAAAAGAGAGAGAGAGAGGAAATGAGAGGGAAGATGTTTGGAGTTGGAGGAGCGTGAAGGAACGAAAGAGACGGCTGACTGACTCGTAGAGGCTGCCATCCAAACGCCAGGTGCCTGTCATCTCTTGACAATCGCAAACCCGGGACATATACATTACTCAGAGCATTATCCTTTTAATTCCTAGATATCATTCACCTCAAAACTGACTATTTGATGTTGTACACATAAATCGAGCACTATACATTTTTCTGCGAAAAGCACAGCCAAAACACGGGGAATCACTAAACCAAAAGATGATACCAAAAGAGAAACACTTGCGTGACATAAAATAAATAACAGTCTACCAAAAGAAATATACTATTTATCGATGGGGAGGAAGTTCCCAACGATGAGAGACGGGCTGCACAGTGTTAGTTCCGGAGACTTATATCTAGTGGACAGCTGGATAATCAAAATGAACACATACATGTTGTGGTTATCCCGTCTGATCGTAAACGAGAAGCAGCAAGTAATACCATCACTCGTTGAGTTAGGGTTGGGGCTCTTCAGCATGCAACTAGTGAGCATGGCCTTTTGGGTATTGTCAAAAGCGATAGCACCGAACTTTTCCCAATAGCTGACCAGCTGATCTTCGACAATAATCTCGTGGATAGCAAGTTTGCCCTATAGGGAGTAAATATGTGAGTTTGGCACTATGACATGGGTGGTCGCCAGTTTGGAAACCTACATCTCGGAGACCCTCAACCGGGACATCAATCAGCTGCGCCATCTCATTGTTCCCGCGGAAGATTTCGCCCGTTCGACGCCAGCAGCAGGCCGGGATAGCCATACTAGCAAAGACGCGGTCGTACTCCATCAGACTCCGCTCGAACCACATCTCCACCAGAATCAATTCGACATCAGTCAAGCTCTGCATGCGTTCTCGGAACTTGGGCCGGAACTTGTCGAGTTGCCGCAGGATTTTTTGCCGAGATATTGGTTGCATGTTCTTTTCCATGTACTGGTTCAGGCGTGCGTATCCCTTGACGTAATTGAACGGTTTCAGTAGTCCGGCATCATATTTCGCTTTGAGAAGCTTGTTCATTCGCTCTTCTGGTGGATCAGTTCCTGCCGGGTCGGCAGCGGTCATGTAGTATGTTTCCCGGGCTTTGTCATTGCCGACTGTCGAGGTTGGTCGTTGAATCGAGTCTCCTGGTACTTGACTTTGTCCTGGCGGCGGAAGCTGTGCTGGAGGAAGCAACCCGTTCGGCATCCCCATACCATTCATCGAGTTCATCAACGATGAATCGGGGTAGATTCCCTGCATATCTGGATTTTGGAACATTGCGCCGTCGTCCAAAAGACTGTTACTGAGGAAATCTCCGAGCAGATTGTACTCGTTGGTCACTTCATGTGCATTAAACATGTAGGACGGGTGGAGAGAATGCATATCCTGGAACTGATTATGACCACCTACCCAGTCGTTGTATTGCATGACTATCATGCCACGTCAGATGAGTGGAGGTAAAACAAGTTTGTTTGCGAACTCACGGTGAGAATTAGCCTCGAGGCCCTGACTAGATGCAGAGAGATTTGCAGGCGGAACCGTTGAAGGCGGGTTCACAGCCGAGGGTGCAATTCCGATCGTGGTATCAGGGAATGATTGCTGACCAGCAGCATCGGCGACGTCGACACTCCTAGGCATGCTTTGAACGGTGCCCAATTCATTGTTAGACGAGCCCTCGTCGTCTGCAGCGGAGTGTTCGTGTTCACTTCGTCCCCGTTTCGCAGTTTCCCTCGGCTCGTCATGGCACAGGTGACCGATGTTTCGCTTTATACACCGTGTGCAGGGCCGCTCCTTCATAGATTCAGACAGGTCAGCTGGTGTTTATTTTCCGCAATTCTGTGTTCAGGGTTTCAGAAGCGACGGGTTGCGGAGGGGGAGGGGAGAGAGAGGCGTCGTACCGAGTCGCAGGTCATATGCTGTCCCACACGAACAAAGCCTCGTTAGCAAAGGCAGTACTTTGAATAGATATGCGCCAGCACTCCATGGCCTATTCCGTATAATAACCAAGTATAATGGCATTCCCAAGAGGTAAACTTACCGAGCGGCGGCAATATACACAGGCTGGAATTGCGGGAAACGTTAGCGAAGATGTTCTTATCGTTATGCGCAACAGAATCGGCCGCGCCAAGATCCCTGTGCATGCTGCGCAACGGCTCCTTACCGTGATTCACCTTCCGGCGCTTCTTGGGACTAGAGTGACTCGCCGAGCCGGTCGTTTCGGGTTTGGCAGAGTCTTTGATGCTCGTATCCTTCCCTGCATCCCTGGATTTCGCATTGGAAGCGCCTAGCGGCGCATTCTTTTCGGTCATTGCGCAAGAGATCAGTGAGAACCACCAGGGCCAAAGCTAAGTGGCTGCCTGCAGACCAGTTGGTAGTTGTTAAACGTCAAAAAGTTCTTAAAGTTGGGGATGGAGAAAGCGGAGTCACCCCTCCGAACTCCTCCGCATGGGGTTGGCTGTTTAGGCACACGCCACTTTTGGGGGCGAGACCTCGGTCAGAGGAGTTACTGCGTACATTTTCTATGCTTACATTTTAATTGAAACCACATTGATGTACGAGGACTGATGTTTGATTGATTCTCAATTGTCTTGTTTTTACATGCAGTGCAGCCTCGGGTTGTCTGATCCTTTAGGACTTTCCAGCTTGGACCAAATGCGCACGATACCCCTTCTAATTTAGTATTCATAGTTTAACCCTGCATTACAGAGTAGTTATGTTGATGAGAGGTTCAACCGTGCCTGGTTCCACCGTACGCAGCTATTCAGCGAATGCATTGCAATGCGGTCACGCGACAAGGATTGCCGATGTAATTCCGGATTGCCAAGCTCGGTCGGTACTTGGCTTGCGTTTTTAACAGGCACACATATCCTGAGCCCGAGGTCCTTCATGTGTCAATCATAAGCATCAAAATGCGGGGATTGGTGGTTTATGTGGTGTAGTGATGTCCAGGGGGGCGATCAGTCGTTAGGCATCGAGTATAGATCCAAGGCAGCTTGTGATCGAGTGACGGCATCACCGAGGCCTGCGAATGGGGCGGTATTGTTTTGCATAGATTGAAGGTGGCCGTGTAGTTGTTTCATAAGACCTTGGACTTCGGGGTCGGCGTCCAACTAAAATAAAAAACAATGGTAAGTTGACAGGGCGAACATGCATAGTTCAAACAGTCCATACCTCATCTAGTGTCACTTGGCTATCTTTCGCGCCCAGAAGCGTGAACTCAGCGGATCCAGAACCCTCGGTTTGAGGAAGTGCATCCAACTGTCGAAGCACAGGGTGTTCCTACGATCGTAAAATATTAGCCAGTCACACTTGGAAGCGAGATGAGTTTGCTGCATACATTCTTAGACTGTCGTTTCCTTTCAGCCTCGGCCCGTTTGGCATTCTTGTCCATTTCCTGGAGCGATTTTGTTTCAGCAGCAAGAAGCGCTTCTTCTTTCGCAATCTCGGCTTTTAATAGATCGACACTATCATTCATCGTAGCCAATTGGCCCTCAAGGGAGCGCTAAAAATGTAATCAGTATGGAGTTGTCGACAACCGCAGAGAGAGTCACATACGTGCTCATTCAGCGCAGATTCGTAGTCGAAGTTGGATTCCTTTGTTATGGGCGGAAACGGCATTCGCGGGAGTCGTTTACCTAAACTGAAACCACGCGGAGTATACGGTTAGTATCATCCCTCGGGACACTAGTAGCTCTGTGGAAGCTACCAGACTAAGCATGGGGCCTTACTTTCGCACGACCGCTTGCACGGCGCCCTGTGCCTCAATGCGCTTGCGCTCATTCTGATTTCGCATTATCACCGGTCGCTCGAGAGAGTGGAACATGTCCTTGACCTTTTCCTGGACGGGTTCCGGTAGAGGGGCCCATTTCGACTTGATGGTCTTCTCTGGGACGCGGCGGATGTGAGGTTTGAGGTATGCGTAGCGCTTGAGGTCGTCGGGAGCATCGTCCGTGTGTTTTCGTTTTGGAGGCATGGTGGTTTGAGGGTGTTGGGTCTGTCGAGGTCCACAATTAAGGTTGCGTCGCGTCTTCACATGCAGGCAAAACAGAGCGGTGGAGACAAAACATGGAGATAGTCAGCCTCCGCACGTCTTAGTAGTCTTGGCCTTTACATACAACATAACTATGCTATTTTAGAAGAAATTAAGTCGCGGTTAAACGTCGAATTAAATTGTATCTACATCGGCTTGAAAATTGAATGTGTTCTAGATGGCGATAAAACATCGCTTTCGCAGGCCAATGCCTCATTTATTCTCCTTATTATGGGCTACGTAGTCATATACGTTTAACGTACGGGCGAAAGCGATTGGAATAAACAAACATGTACTCAAACTATGTTCTGCCAATACAGGCCTTTCAAATTATGCACTAGGGTATCGATATTTGCCGAGGACCAGCGGAAAGGTGACTTGTATCACCGACAGCGGGTAGATGGAGGGGGAAAAACACGGCGAGGAAAGAGTATGCAGGGAAAATATGCAGGGAAAAAATGGTATCTTGTGGGCCAGATTTGCGAAGATGAAATGTCAACTCGCCATGCATACACAAAACTGTCCACCCGCTGAAACGCTTGCAATCCCCACGAACAAAAGAGGCAGGGACCATCCATGAGATCATGAAGTAAGGCTGTGATCTTATCACAGAAGGGTATCATCGTGGCATAACCAAGCCATTGATGCCCTTCAAGTCATGCAGTTGTCCTTGGAGTATGTCATTCCCTCGGAGAAGATCTTCAAGCCAGTCGGCGGCTCCAGTGAGCATGGCGCTTTTGCTGAACCCGCCGCCCCTGAGCGCAGGGACCAGTGTGCACAAGTCTTCAAAGCCTTGGCGAATCAGATTTCGGCGTTTCTGCTCCGAAAGAATGTGGTTGGTCCGTTTTTGCTCTTCTGTAAGATTCTCCCGTGCAGCTTTTGATCCTGGCTGCAGTCGAGCTTTTCGAGATATTTCAGTTGATGCCCGCCGGCCTCTGCTGATAGATCCTCTAGATTTTCTTGAGTGAGGTCGTCCATCATCGTCATCAGAGTATTCATCGACCTCCTCTTTCATGGCCCTCTGCCGTTTTCGAGGATGTAAGCTCTCATCCAGGACAACACTGCTTCGGAAGGCAGATCGCTGTGGGGGAGCCCCAGTCATACACTCTGGACTAGGTGCTCGTGTGTTTGCTGCACTGCTTTGGGTTTCAAAACACCCGAGATGATCGAGCAGGTCGTTTGTTCGCTGTTCCTCGTCGGGCTGGTCAGGGGGGCGAAGATAGCCTTGGTCCATAAAACTGGCATCTGAGCCCCAACGCAAGCTGCGGGCCTTTCGTGATGGATGCTGGTCCACAGGAATGGGGTCACGGACGTCAAAAAACATCTCCGAAGTATGATATCCAGCCGGGACGTCAGCCCGGGGTGGAGATGAAGTTGAACCCCGTGGAGTATTGCCAGCATGTGAGTTATTTGTTCGTTGAGTTCCAGGAGTGGGGAGAGATTGTCCCGGGAAAGCCTGGTGTGCTGACGTGGATCCTACCTCCGATCCGTTCAGACCGGTATGGTAAAGCATGGAGGCTGCGGCGAAGATGTCGGAGCTTGTAGGGTTGCTTGTCATCATTGTTCCAGCCGTTTTACCTATCCCGTGCTGCTGGAATGAAGGCTGTGACAGGGAGGTAGTTGAGCCCTCGAAGTTGGGTGGCAGCTCAGCTGACCAGTCAAAGTCGGGTACGCCAGGTTTATGTTCTTGTCGCATCCAAAAATCATTCGTAAAGTGGTTTGCGTTCATGGTAGTAAAGAAGTTGTCGAGCATATTAGATTCATTATCATCAAGAAGAGAAGGTCCTGGTGGCAAAGCAGGTGCCTGCCCAAAGGGGGTATCCATGGGAGAGAGAAAGGAGTCTGGAATCGGGTTAGACAGTGAACAGTAGAGAATGATGCCTGGGACAACTCACATCCGAAGGGAGCAGACGGGGGAGATGTGCGCTCGGTTTGAACTTCGGTTCCAGGCCCATTCATAGTGGGAAATGGATCAATATCAAGAAGGATTTGTATGCCGGTGTGTCGGTCAAGGAACGGGTTGCTACTCTGATGCCAACAGTAGCGCGAGCCAAGGCAATAATGTCATGCCTTGACTCGAATGCAAAACGTATATGATCAAGGTGATCACACAGGCTCGACTCCACAAAATAGGGACGCGGGGGTAGATCGAGGCCACGGGGTTTCTCTAGGTAATGCGACTCGATAAGGAGCCGGTTCGGTTCGGCGCAATGGGATAGGAACAAGAAGGTGTCAAAGTGCAAAGAAAGACAGAAACTAGAAAAGCAAGATAGTGTCCGAAAAGGAGAGAATCGTCCTGTAGAAGAAGGAGAGTTTCGCATCAAAGCAATCGTCCTATTCGGACAAGGACCTGATCACATGCAAAATTTGACCGCGTGACGTAACAGTACAAAACTTACCGAAAATACAGCCGCTCCGGTGTGGCTTGAAAACGTACCCTCGGTATTTAGTACGTTCCTGGGGAGAGCTGTTGACTTCCGGAGAACCCTCCCGAGGCCCTTAGTCAGGTCAACTTGTTCTTTGTGCTGCAAGTACACTGCAGGTATATGTACAATCAGAACATCTTTCCTTGCTCTTTTCTCTTTTCTCTTGGAACTGGGTGCCGGTTCATCTTCTTCTTTTGGATTATTCTCCTGAGATCTGCATTCTGAACTTGTAATTTAAAAAAGTCATCCTTGTTCAGTGAAAGGGGCCCGCAATCCCGACTATCTCGCTCCGAAAAGCCCATTATATCGGATGATCGTCGGTCTTCTCATAATCGGTCCCTCCCCCGACTTTGGATCTTATTTGCGGGGATTTTTCTTAATTTCCCCTAGGCCAGGGACCGAGGTCCAGCCAAAGCCTCTCCAATAGACCATTACACTGGGATCCACGATCCGGACAACCATCGTGCAAGTGTATCAAATTTCCCTCTTGAGAATACTACCCAATTTTCGGGAGGTGCAATTTGTAGGTCACCCACGGACAAAATCTATCGAGCTCTTACACCTGACTTCTGATTGGTGAGGAGATTCTTGTGAATCCCAGCAGAGTTTACAGTGGGCTGACCCCTCGTCGCCGATTAGTTCGGGGAACTGTGATGTTGACACCTCCCGACGGATCATGACATGAAGGTTTCCGGCAGCATGGAACCTGCACTCCGGAGACGCCATGGAAGGGACAACGCCCGGGTATTCAAGCCGTGAGTCCATGCGATCTGATACCCTTGTGGCTTGGTGCGACTGTGTGATCTGAAGAGCTCTTGTTGATTGTGACTGTAGCCTCCTTCGCGCCTATGCGCTCGGGTACCTATCTTCCGTCACTCCGAAATTGTTGACTTATGTACGCCAACTGCGCACTAAGGACTGGACTGCCCAACAGAAAGTTCAAGAGGTATGTTGTGATATCACCTAGTGTGGACTTGTTATCGCGACTTACCATGTCACCCTTTTTCTCTGGTCAATTGCGCAAATGAAATGCTATCGCTAACATCTATTTGAATAGCTAGCTAAAGTCTTCACTGGTCCATTCCGTCTGAACAGCTTCCCTACAGCTTGTGCTTCCCTGGTCGGTGGCTCAACCCTACTACCAATAGGATTGTATCGCCTGTGTGCATTGATCACAGCGGCACTCTCCAAAGGTGACGTTCAGATCTCACAAAAGCTCGACCGCGTAATCAGATTCATCATCACTTTTCTATCGGGATGGTTCAGTTTTCAACTGCTCAACAGAAACCGCACCTGTCTACCAATAGAAGATGTCAGAGCTATCCCTAACTCCACAGATCAGGGGAAAGACCCTGGTCAGGTCATGGCCAATCCCCTGGAGCATCACCGCCCGGAGTTAGCAGGGAGGACAATGGATCTCACCATCTACATGGTCACAAGAGCCGTAGATGCGGTCACATGTGTTGCATGGGGTCGTTGGTCCCGTCGCCGCCACACCCAGAACCGCTGGACGACTGTCGAATCCCTTGTCCCTGGCTTCGCTGACGCAGCTGTCTTTGCCATAAGTGCCTCTGTGGTCATGTGGGCATGGTTTTATCTCCCTGAAAGACTGCCTAGAACCTATGAGAAGTGGATCCGGGAAGCCGCGCAGGTTGATTCACGATTGATTGAAGCATTGCGTCGTGTTAGACGAGGAGTCTTCGTTTATGGAAAGGATACAGGACAGGCACCTCTTCTGCAGTCGATGTGCAAAGACTACAACTGGCCAGAGGTGTGGGGAGATCCAGCAAAGGTGGCCCCGATCCCTTGCGAAATGGTTCACATGGGCTGTGGCCCCAGTTGTGAGAAACACGCATTGTATCGGTTTGCCAAAACCTTTAAATTTGCCTGTGCAACCTATATACCCCTACAAATTGTTTTCCGTCTGCGCAGGATGAAATCTGCAACTGCCCTCCGTAGGGCCCTTTCTGATGCAGCACAATCATCTGCCTTCCTCGCCTCTTTTGTGAGTTTATTTTATTACAGCGTTTGTCTCGCTCGAACACGCCTTGGCCCCAAGATTTTTGATGCGAAGACCATCACTCCGATGATGTGGGACTCTGGACTCTGTGTCGGTGCCGGATGTCTCATGTGTGGCTGGAGTATATTGGTTGAAAAGGCGCGGAAGAGACAGGAGTTGGCGCTATTTGTGGCACCCCGGGCTGCCGCCACGGTTTTGCCACGGTTGTATGATAAAAAGGTATGTATCGGACCTTCGCATCCTCTGTCCACAACAGGGTTACACCCACATCCCCTCCACCCCCTTCTCAATCTATCCAAATTAGCCTGTGACAGGGTTCCAGAACAATCACGAGGTGCTGACGTGTGTCGATGTTTCCCAGTATCAATCCCGAGAGCACGTTGCATTTGCTTTCAGCGCTGCTATTCTTATCACTTGCCTCCGCGAACGTCCTAGCATGGTACGAGGAGTTTTTGGTCGCATCACGTCTGGCGTGTTGAATTAAGTTTCACTGAGATGCCTCGAAGGCATCAACCTCTTGTATCAGTATTCATTTATCTTTTCGAGCTGAGTTCTGGGTGTTACTACCCTGTATTATTTTTATGAACTTTGCATCCTTACGTATATATGCATTCAAATGCTCTATACGAGCCGAGTGACACCATTAAATACTATCTTCATACCAACAGTGTTGGGATCTGAGGTCTATCGGTAAATTAGTCGTTATGCCAAATTTGCAGCCTGGGCAACCTGGATTGTGGTTGAAGCTTTCGACTTGAGAAATCATGATCCAATTAATACTGATCAACAAATCAAGAATCTTTTCGAAATCTTCACCATGTCCTACTATTCCTCGCTGTTTAGATGTAACGTGACCCGAAGTTTAGGGCTTATCGATAAGCCGTTGAATCACGTGTTGGGGATACACTGGTCTGATGCGACTCAACATCCGATCCCATTGGAGTCATAGAACCATGTTTTCCCGATTAATCCCCTCGCTGGGGCGTTCTGCGCTGACGGGGACGATCCCCCAGCGATCAATCTATTTGCGGAAGAGCGTTTTTGAGGTAGAGCGGAGGTATTTCTCGAGGAATTTCCTGCTTCAAGAACAACGGAATTCAGCTGCAGCGCCTTTTAATACCCCGGAATCGCAAAAACGCAATACCTCTACCATGTGAGCCGCCATTGAACCAAAATTTGAAGGAGCCTATGTGCTAACAAAGCCCGTGATCAGGTACTATACCATCAGTATGATCCTTGGAACAGTTGCCCTCGCATATGGATCTGTCCCTCTTTACAAAATGGTATGCCGAGCTCCCGTTCGATCGAATATACATCCTGAACAGAATTTTATTCTAATCCCAATTGCAGATCTGCCAACAGACTGGCTGGGGTGGTCAGCCCATTCTCACCCACCGAACCGGCGACGGCGATACCTCTGCACGTGTGACACCAGTGACAGATTCTCGTCGTCTACGCATCACATTCAATGGCTCAGTATCGGATGTACTCCCTTGGAAGTTCACTCCCCAACAGCGCGAGGTTCGAGTGCTCCCCGGCGAGACAGCGCTGGCGTTCTACACCGCAACAAATAAGGGCCCGCATGATATTATTGGAGTCGCCACATACAGTGTCACGCCAGGTCAGGTTGCGCCATACTTTAGCAAGATTCAATGCTTCTGCTTTGAGGAACAGAAGCTCAATGCGGGAGAGTCGGTCGATATGCCTGTTTTCTTCTTCATTGACCCTGACTTCGCTACCGATCCTAACATGAAGGGTATTGACACAATTACCCTATCATATACTTTCTTCAGTAAGTTTTGTGTCTATTTGTTGATTTATTGGCTTGGTTTAACCCAAAACAGAAGCGAAATACGATGACAATGGTGTTCTGACACCAATCGCATCATAAGAGGGTCATACCAAGGGCGCATTGGGTACTGTATTTCAACTGTGTGGATTTGCATAGACTTGGACGTTCAACAGTGAACAAAGAACTTGCGTGGTGTTGTGTCCGGCTTTTCGCATTCATCTCATCTCAAGGCAAATTTTGCATGTACTATAAACCTCGGAGTTTGGCGGAAGGCTACCAAATACCTAGAAAACTATCTACTTGTACATATTATTAAATTTATCCATATATAGTTGTACAGTCTAGATCGAAATGAGCTCTTGGGGGCTCTTTGCTGCATCCATCGATATAGCGTGCACGGACCAGTGATTAATTAGGCGCGTGTCTGGACGCGTTCTCCAGTCCGCATCCTCTATCGAAAAACCACACGCACCTCAACCCCAGCATTTTACAGAGTTTTCAAAATGGCTCTTCTTGTGGACAAGCTGCGGCCACGCACCCTCGATGCTCTCTCGTATCACCCCGAGCTTTCTGATCGCCTGCGATCGCTGGTAAGAAACCCTGACCTGCGGAACATGAACACCATTTTAACACAAGGTATCGTTGATAGGCACGAAGCGGAGATTTTCCCCATTTACTAGTCTATGGACCCTCGGGCGCTGGTAAGAAGACACGGGTCATTGCGACACTAAAAGAACTGTACGGTCCCGGTGTCGAGAAGATCAAGATCGACGCCAGAGTCTTCCAAACGACGAGCAACCGAAAGCTAGAATTCAACATTGTTTCATCGGTATACCATCTTGAAATTACCCCCGCAGATGTCGGAACCTACGACCGAGTAGTCGTCCAGGAATTGCTTAAAGAGGTTGCGCAGACGCAACAGGTGGATCTCGGCGCGAAGCAGCGGTTCAAGGTCGTTGTGATCAACGAGGCTGATCATCTGACACGCGATGCCCAGGCAGCTCTCAGACGTACCATGGAGAAATACAGTCCTAATCTACGATTGGTTCTCCTGGCAAACAGCACCTCCAACATCATTGCACCGATTCGGTCTCGAACCCTGCTGGTCAGGGTTGCCGCGCCTACGGAAAGCGATATTTGCTCTGCGCTTCATCTTGCAGGGAAAAAAGAAGGATGGACCGAGTCTGAGGTGCTTAACAAGAGGATTGCAAAGGAGAGCGGACGTAATCTGCGTCGTGCGCTACTCATGTTCGAATCAATTTATGCGCAAAAGTAAGTTTTCACATCGATTCTTGTTCGAATGGATTTTAGAGGCTTACCTTGTTGGGAATCTAGTGAAAAAGTCACGGACAAGACCCTCATCCCGCCTCCGGACTGGGAGGCCCTTGTTACCCTAACGGCTGATGAGATTCTGGCTGAAAGGTCACCGGCTCGGCTGTTGCATGTCCGCGCACGTCTTTATGATCTTTTGACCCATTGCATCCCACCGACAACCATTTTGAAGGTGTGTATTCATCTTTGCAATTAACATGCTTCTGATACTAATTTTTGGTGCCAGACTTTGACATTCAAGCTCGTTGCACGAGTCGACGATGCACTGAAGCCAGACGTTATCAGGTGGTCTGCCTTCTACGAGCACCGCATTAAGCTGGGAAGCGTAAGTCCTCGATGATTACCATTGCCACAATTGAAGTGCTAACGCGTATTTCGATACAGAAAGTAATCTTCCATCTCGAAGCCTTCGTAGCCAAGTTCATGCGCATCTATGAAAGGTATGCTTGCCCTGGATAATTTAACGGGTGCATAACTAATGATTTATTAGCTATCTGATGGGCATGGACTTTTAATTACTCACTACCAACAAACCAAGACAATGGATGAATGACGATTTGTACACTAAGGTGGGTTTCAGTGAACTTGGGATCTAGGAAGTGAGGGTCTGCTATTAAGCAGAATCACATCGATTCGAAATCTCCAGGTATCCAATTTGTTTTCACTCTTCACAGGCGCATTAAGGCATTTTCTGAGAATGATTCTGGCGTTAAATCACTTGTCATTGTGTACTATCTCTTGAGGTCGTGGAAAGATCTTCGCACACATCAACCTCTCAAACTCTTAACTATGTCTGCACTACAACAGTGAAGCTGTGGTCCGCATTATAGCAAGAGTAGATTATGAGTAACGTAGATTTGATACAATGATATTAAGATATTAATCCCGAATTGTGTTTATCATTGTCCTCTAATATGGATACGTCATCACATACCCGTCCCGAGGTCATTTATAAACTGGACCACCTGGTAACATCGGATCAGTTTTCTTATGTTTATCAGACCAGGACCTTCTACAGTATTTTCGCATCGCTGTTCCTTCGCTATACTATCCCACACGAACAGTACCGAAATGTCCGACCCCAGACTTATTGATATGGAACCAGGCGGAGAGAGCACTCAGTATGGCGGCATCAAGACCACGTCTTAAAATTGCTCTTCGCTGATATACAGGGTGCAGATATGAGTCTATCCGTGAATTCACACTGAGTCCCTCAAAGCAGACTGGACAGTTGGGAGGTGTGTTGCTACCTGGGAGATAAAGTTGGGTACGCTATAGCAATTACTGACCTCTTCCAAGCCCACGAGAAACACACTATAACCGAAAAAACCCCCAGTCTAGGAACACATGTCACAGCATCCAGTAATGATGAGGATTTTCAGGCACAGAAGCTGGGTATGGGAGTATTCGCTGACTCTGGTAAAGGTAAATGCTGAATATATTTTCCTTGTCTAAACTCCTAGTATCAAGACAAAGGACCCATCGGAGGAGCCTGTACCTCGATGGCTCCTAAAGAGACGCAAACAGCTGATGATAATGTACAAAAGATATGACACATGACGAGGACGATGCCGCTACTAAGGCCCGCAGACTGCAGGGGTATGGGCCTGGGTCTGGTGTCGGGGCTTAGTCGACAAATACGACAAAGGCAAAGGACATGACCGATGAAAAAGGAGAAAACGGTATCATGGAGGAAACGACAGTTTATTGAGTGGGGTCGGAGCTGGAGGAGGCGCTCTTCGGAGGGGAAGCGATGTCATCGGTACCAAGGGGTGGGTTCCTGCGCGCGCGCTTGAGACTCTCGAGGGTGACACCGTTTCCGAGCTTTGTGATACCCACAACAGGCGGGTCATCCTTGTGAACGAATTCCCAGAGACCTAATGAATGAGAATGAGCATCTTACGTACCCAAAATAGTAACATAGGTAGCACATGAATAACCTACCTGGCAATTTGTGGCCCGCCAATCTGAAAGCCTCACGGGCAACCTTCTCGTGGACATCTCCCTTCAATTCAAAGACGATTCGGCTCACGGGCAGTCGGACAGTCCAGTAGTCGAACTTACCCTTACCCTTACCCATACGCTGCTCGTTACCCTTGGTGTAGACACCAATGTTGGCACTGACACGCTTGTACAGCTTATAGTTCATTCCTCGTAGTCGCCGCTTGATAGTCTCTTCGGCGATCTTCAGCGCCGATGCAGGCATACGGCGGTCGTGGTCTTTCATGCGCAGACCGAAATCTCCCCACACGACTGTTGTTCCTCGGGTGGATCCGCCGGTAGCAACGTGAGGGCGACCCTTGGGGGATTTAGATTTTTCTTGGAATTTCGGAGTAAGCCAATCGAGAGCGGGCGAGGTGGTAGAGAAGCATCGTGATAGAGAAAAGGTGGCCAGTGGTCCCGACACTGTTTCGCACTGTTAGTCTTCGGCTGAATGAATTTTCTGGGAATTAACTGGCTCGTACGGGTTGGCCGCGTGCAGGCGGAGAGTGGTCCAGCAAACATCTTGATCTGTGGACCCATTGTGACGAGGGAGGCGGCGAGATATACCAATGTTGCGAAAGGCTTCGTTACTCCGGCACTTTTCGATGATTGGAACTAGTCCCAAAGTGGAAATGTTGCATACACGTGATATGACTTATGCTTGCTTGTTAATGCCTTGTAAATCAGGCGTCGATTTCAGTGCAGCATCTTTCATTCCACAGTAGTCTAAACAGCATCTGATTGATATAAGATGCATCAATTGTATAAAAAGAGTAAGTCTGTGCTGTGGGACCTAATTATTGAAGCTATATGTAGTACATTCATAGTATGCTCTCTGGCTGGTAACCCTCTTGCTCTTGCCCAAGGTTTTGTAGATAGATGGTGACTCGTCCTGCCCTATATGTATTACATGTATCTGAGGAGCTTGGCAAGTTATGTACTGAGTACGGAGTATCCTCTCGTGATTCTTGTAGTCTCAACAGCTGTACCTAGCTTATATGCGCTAGTCCTAAAAGAGAGGAAAGTGCTGCCTTACGTCAGCCAGTCACGTCTCCCCGGGACTGTAGCGCGTCGTTCGCGATCTACCAACCGCTGCGGCAAGAGCTCGATTGGTAAACTGTATCCTGTTCTGTGCCGAAGCTCGTGTGACGGATCGAGTCTCGCTATGGATATCCGTAATTTCTTTGGCGGTAAGCCAAGTCAAAGCTCCAGCGAAGCCCCCGCGAAGCCCGCGGCCAAAAAAGAGGTAAGCTGGTGCCTTGCTCATGAGAGGAGGTCCTGGTCACTTTATATGTGGTCAGGCCCCCGTTGAATGACTGGAGTTCATATTCTGACCTCGAATTCCACAATGCAGGACTCCTCCGCCACAAGAAAGAGACGTATGCTCTCCATAATCCCTACTCTCATACGGCCAGTCTAACACGACAACAGGCAGCAGGAAAGTTGTGGATGACAGTGATGATGAAGATGATTTAGCACCTGTCAAAGCGCCCGCTACTAAAGTGAAGCCCAAGAGTCAACCGTATGTCCATCGCTGGATTGAAATGTCTCATATAATTTAACTGATGAACTTTCTTTGCAGAAAGCCCGAAGAGCCGAAAGAAGAACCTACAACTTCCTCGGACTATTTTGCCTCCAGCAAGAAGAAGACCCGACCTGCCAAAACGACCGAGAAAGCTCAGCCCGATAAAGCCAATACTGTTGCCGAAAGTCCAAACCCCAAGGCTGCCGAAGAGCCTGCGAACAAGGGACGAAACCCTGCTCGAGGATCAACAAAGCAAGCCGCAAAGGTCGTCGAGGACGAGAATCTCGGCGCCGATGACATTTTTGCAACCGAATACGGAAAAGCCGGCAAAGGAGAAGACGCTTATGTTGCTGGGGACGATAGCGACGAGGACGATGACTTCGAAATGCTTGAGGTGAGGCCAGCCGCTGCTGCTGCGAAGAGGACACAGAAGAAACAATCTTCCCGCGATGACGACGATGATGTGGTCATGAAAGATCTCCCCAAGATTCCTGCCCCGAAGGCTCGACCTGGCCGCAAACGCAAGTCCGAGGCTCTCATCGACGAGGACGAAAATGATGACTACCAAGAACCCAAAAAGGAAACAAAAAAGGCAGCCCCGAAGGCCACGGCCGCGACATCACCAACAGCGAAGAAACAAAAGGCTGCCCCTAAAAAGGCTAAAGAGGACAAACCAGAGAGCAAAGAGCTCCAAGATATCTTCGACAGCATTCCTACGATTGAAGCTCCAGAGCCTCCTCAGGGAGAGCCAAAGAAATTTAAGTTTGGGGCACAACAAAGCCGAGACCCGGTAATGTCTGGGACCAAGGAGATGCCCGTTGGGGAAGAAAACTGCCTTGCTGGTTTGTCTTTTGTTTTCACCGGTGTTCTGGAATCCCTCGGCCGCGAGGAGGGTGCGCAATTGGTGAAGAAGTATGGTGGCAAAGTCGTCGGAGCCCCTAGTTCTAAGACGAGCTATGTGGTCCTCGGAGGTGATGCCGGCCCAAAGAAGCTTGAGACCATTGCCAAGCACAAGATCAAGACCATCAACGAGGACGGTCTCTTCGAACTGATCCGACGACTGCCTGCCAACGGCGGTGATGGAAAAGCTGCTGAAAAGTACGCCGAGAAACAGAAAGCCGACGAGGCCAAGGTCCGTGCCATGGCGGCCGAAATCGATGCTGAAGAGAAGAAACGAGAAGCGGAAAAACGAAAGACGGCCACGACTACTCAAGGATCCAAGACCGCCAACGCGTCTCAGACTCCGCCAAGCTCACAGGTCATATCATCCAGCGATCTCTGGACTACGAAGTATGCACCAACATCGACCAGTATGATCTGTGGTAATAAGGGTGCCGTGGAAAAGGTTCAAACCTGGCTGCGGAACTGGCATGCTAATGCCCAGGCCGATTTTAAAAAGGGTGGTAAAGATGGCTCAGGGATCTATCGTGCCGTCATCATTCACGGCCCCCCGGGAATTGGCAAAACTACAGCAGCCCATCTCGTGGCAAAGCTGGAAGGATACGATATCGTGGAGACCAACGCCAGTGACACCAGAAGTAAGAAACTTGTAGAGAGTTCTACCCTGGGTGTGCTTGACACAACATCATTGCAAGGATACTTTGCTGGACAAGGCAAGCAGGTGGAGAGTGGAAAGAAGAAGCTCGTACTCATCATGGACGAGGTTGATGGTATGTCTGCTGGTGATCGTGGAGGCGTGGGAGCTGTCGCAGCCATTGTCAAAAAGAGCAAGATCCCAATCATCCTTATCTGCAATGAGCGCAAGCTTCCCAAGATGAAACCTTTCGACTTCATAACCTATGACGTGCCATTCAGACGCCCGACGGCGGAGCAAATTCGGGCAAGACTGTCCACTATCTGTTTCCGAGAAGGCCTCAAGATTCCGCCTCCTGTACTTGATGGTCTCATTGAAGGAACCCATGCCGATATTCGCCAGGTCATCAACATGCTCTCCACCGCAAGGCTGGATCAAAAGGGTCTCAACTATGAAGAAGGCAAGCAGATGTCAAAGTCGTGGGAGAAGCATCTTATCCTCAAGCCATGGGATATTGTCAGCAAAATTCTCAGCGCCCAGATGTTTTCCCCAAGTTCCACTGCTACCCTGAACGATAAGGTTGAGCTTTATTTCAACGACCACGAGTTCAGCTACCTGATGCTCCAGGAGAACTACCTCAGGACTAAACCTGCTCTTGCCGGCAAGTATCAAGGCAAGGAACAGCGACTAAAGTCACTTGAGTTGCTGGACAATGCCGCCTCGAGTATCAGCGATGGTGATCTCGTCGACCGCATGATCCACGGCACCCAGCAGCAGTGGAGTCTTATGCCCACTCATGCGATTTTCAGTTTTGTGCGGCCAGCCAGCTTCCAGTACGGAAACATGCAAGAGCGGCCTGCATTTACTAGCTGGCTGGGCAACAACAGCAAACATGGTATGTTTTGATTATTCGCCAATTGTCTGTATACACTCTTTAACTGATTTCTTCTTTAGGCAAACTATCCCGATACGTCAAGGAATTACAGGGCCACATGCGTCTTCGTACTACAGGTAACCGCGACGAGATCCGTCAGCAGTACATGCCTTTGCTCCAGGAGAAGATAATACGCCGAATGATGGACGAAGGCAAAGACTGTGTGGACTCGGTCATTGATCTCATGGATTCATACTATCTCACCCGTGAGGACTTCGATTCCATGGTTGAATTAGGACTCGGCCCAATGGACGAGTCTAAGATCAAACTTGAGACACAGACCAAAGCCACCTTCACACGTCTGTACAATTCGCGCTCGCATCCCATGCCATTCATGAAGGCCAGCAATGTCATTGCACCTAAGGGAAAGAAGGAGATTCCTGATATTGAGGATGCCATTGAAGCATCGGACGGAGAGGAAGTTGTGGAGGATGTCAAGAATGAGGACGAGGAAGTACTTGATCTGAAGAAGGACAAGTATGTAAGCTTGCCTAAGAAAAAGAAGGCGCCGGCCAAGAGTAAGAAGACGAAGAAGGCCGATGATGATGGTGATGATGAGGAAAAGCCGAAGAAGGCTCGTAAGAGTAGAGCCAAGGCCAAGGCTTGAGAGATTATTTCTGTAACATATTATCCTTTGGTTAAGCATGTGTTTTTAATGGTAGCGCATTTCAATCTGATATCTCTTCAGCACACCATTTAATTGTTTACAATCTTGGTGTGTCTTGACGTGTGTTGGGACTTTCCCTCTGGCACTGTTCCCTGTGACAGTGTATGTCTTTGAGGATATCTTGTCCCCTTCTCAGTTCTACAGGTAAATGACAGAAAGTAATAAGAGGCTTAATTTGTGAACACGACTTTTGTATAACCTGACATGTGCCATCAGATGCGAAGTAGTTGCGTATAGTAAAATATTATATTCTAAATTTTTCATTCCAGAGAGCATAGCCTAGCAATAAATGATTTGCCAAGTGTACTGTGAGATCACCCCCTTGGCGGGGAAATGATCGACGGAGAACACTTCCCTCTCTTACTGGTACCACCCTCCTTTCTCTACTTTCTCTCCTTGATATCTTTGTCTTTTTGATCTGTTTTTCCAGGCTGGTCCTGTTTGAGCTAGTCTCATTCGTTTTCATCCGGGTATTTCCCTTTATTCCCCCGAGCATGCGCTTTTAGTTGGAGCTGTGATTATCCAGACCTCGGTCGCTACTGCGCAGCACAACCCTGGGTTACTACATGTCCTTGTGAGAGCCGAGAAGATGTCTCTTCTGCACAATGAAGAGTAAGTCGTGTCCGGAATCACAGACCGATCCCCCTCAACTCCCCGCGGAAAGGGTTCCAAGGACTAATCCGAGTATAGCTTTACGATCTGGCAATTACGCTCCTCATATCTCTCGACAATCAAAGATGGAATCGGAGACCGACTTATCAACGTCAATGACTCCGTCCTGAATACGCCTGGTTTCCGCGCGGCGGGCTGGTCAACCGCCGCCGCGTACCCCAACACCCACAGCTCCTCTCACCTGAAGCGCACTTACTCCCCACCGATTCCAACCACGGCGAACGTTTCATCCGAATATTACAGGCTAGCAGAACGGAATGCAAAACCCCAACGCCACGAATTGCAAGGCCTCGGCCTGGAAGACGGCGAGGATGATGGTGGCATGGTGACCGGTAGTAAGAGCCACATGGACATGGCCGCAGCGCGGCGGAACCATGCACGCGGCGGAAAGAAGAAAACGCGACGGGAAAGACAGCAAGACGTCCAGAGACAAGTTGAAGCAGAGGACGACGATAGCAGTGATCTGAGTGATGACAGCGACGAGGATGGGGACACCGTGGGCAGGTTGGTGAATTATTGTGTGGTATCATACTTCCCTATCTGACAAAGAACAGTGCTGTCGATCAGATCAAATTCGACAAGATGCCCATCCGCCGAGATCGAGCTGACTCCTCTCCGATGCGTTCTGGAGACCAGAGGGAACGGCCAGAAGTGATGGTCACATCTGCATCAACACAAAACCTTGCAAGTCAATATCGCCAAGTAAAACCACGACCCCGCCGAGATACAACCACTAGCAGTGATCTATCGACGGATAACGAAACCGACCATAGAGGCTACAAACAAGGACAGGTTCAATTCTCCACGAGTGATCAGGTCGTCGAGTATCCGCGCAGACGGCGTGAGCGAACTGGCAGTCGCGGTGCAGAGAGCCTGGCCCTTGGAGAACTCCACGAGGTGGACGAGGACGAGGACTCCGGTGCCGAGTCTGTTGGGTCTGCAATTTCCTCAGACTTTGACAATACAGCTGGATCTGGCTCCTTGCTGCTGGCAGGCGTAACGAGCGGTTTGAATTTGTCCTCGCCCATGGCTATGATGAACAAGTTACCTTCTGGCACAGGGCCGCAGAATAATTCACCGCGCAAGCATCGCACTCCGGCTCCTACATTGCAAGATCTTCCCCCGCCACGGCCGATTAGCATGATACAGCCGGTCAGCTTATTGACCAGCCAGCTTACGTCCCGGAAGCGAGCACCAAGCAATCCGGTGGATAAATTCGTGGTGCTCTCTGGGCGAGGCCAAGAGGACCCGTTGTATTTGAAGATCTACGTTCCCTTTTCAAGCGACCCTGAAGACCCGCTGGATCTGCCACTTACACGCGAGTCTAAGCTTGCAGAACAACCCGCACAAGTGACTGTTGCTGAGACGATTGGTCTTGCTCTGTGGAAATACCAGGCGGACGCCCGCGGCCCACCAATTGATCGCGCAAATTTGACCGTGAACCGATGGACGCTACGGATGGTTGATGATGGCGAAGTCGAATATGACTTCCCAGCGCTTGGGCGGACACTCCCTATGACGGATTTCACGTCAAACAATAACCAATCTGCCAAGTCCCGAGGACGGTCAAGGGGCAAACCATACGATGAATTCGCACTGGTTGAAGCATCAAATTCGGAGTTTGAGGAGAATGAACGGCTCTATCCACAGTTTAGTTCAAGCGTTGGTTCGGAAGAGGCAGATCAGCCGGCGAATCTTGCAGCACCAGGGACTATGCCCGCTACACAGAAGAATACTCCTCAGACCACACCAGCCCGAGCAAACCCTATTCTAGGCCAGCCATTCTCGTCTGCGCTCAACCACAGCACTCTTACTCCCGCTGACCGCCCCGTGGTACCTATCTCACATGCCACTCCCCGTCTTGGTGTTTCCAAGACATTGAAGATTCGCTTCATTAACGTGGAGGCTTCCGCACATGTCATGACCATCAACACATCTACCGACAGCTATATAGCCGAGATTCTGGACTCTGTATGTAAACGATGGGGCCAGGATAAGGGCAACTACCTCTTAAAGGTGATGGGATCGAACACGATTGCACCACTTGACCGCACCGTGGAGGCACTGGGCAGCATCACAGACCTCGACCTAGTGCGTCGTCGCTTCGGCGGAGGACCCCTCGCACTCGGAACCTCACCAGGCAGCTCATCACCAAACGCGCCATTGATGGTGGAAACCGCCGACCCAACCACCTCCAAGAAGAGCAAAAAGGAGGCCAAGAAGGGCGCCCAGCGCATGTTACCCTCATCTTCCCAGAAACAAGACCACCTGGGCGGGTATTACCGCCGCTACCATGTGTTCCGCAAACAACCCATGTCTTTCACGGCATCCAACCATCGCATCCTCACGTTTGAAAACGATTATATGCATATCGTGCCCGGTGACACGGGCAAAACAGCGTCTGGTGGTAAGACCCGTTCGATCAGCTTCAGCGACGTGATCGGATCCAAGGTCAGCCGACGACACCCCAAGAGCTTCCGGGTGATGATCGTGCGTGGCAATGATGCCACAGAGCAGAAGCGCTATGACTTTGAGGCAAGGAGTACCAATGAGGCTGTGGAGATTGTAGACGAGATCAAGAAGAATATGGCACATTATCGCATTTGATTGTCTGCTGTTTTATACATGGAATTGCGTTTGGGGGAGAGCTTGGAGTTCGGGATGGCGTACATCACTTTTAGTCCCCTTGTATCATCTCAAATCAAACGAATTATTGAACTACATCCAGAGGCTGTGTTGACCTTTGCACTCCTAATATGTGTCCCCTCCATACTGCCCAAGTTTTGGTCATATCATTTCCACCTAGGCAGCAGACATCGTAAAACTATCGAATTTGTGTTATTAAAATATAGAAATAGGATAGAGCTTTTGGACGGCCATTGAGTCTTCATCTTCATCCGTGGGAATTGCATACTCATGCCCTAACATAGCGTTTGAACCGAAGATTGCCCCCATTTCGTGAGAAGTGGGAATATGAGCGTTAGGCTGAATTTCCACCGCAACCTCAATATCCAGCAGAGTAACTATCCGACTCTGTCTGTTGTAAAGCATGTTATGCATTCCTGCGTCACTGAGTCGTACTGCGATTTGGCGAAGGGCGTTAATTCCGTTTAGTGACTGGGTCTTGATGTGTGCACGTTCGAGTTCATTGAGTGTATGCCAGATATGAGAGAGACGTGCCCCGTCCCTATACTCAAGAACGAGTGCGTATCCAGATGGAAAGACACTTGAACATATGACTCTGCCTCGCGATATCCAGTTGGCAAAAACATGGGCTCCGGACGGTCGTTGTGTCCAAATTCTCTCGTAAATTACTGCTTCGGAATCAAATCTATATATGAATACTTAGCCAAGCCCAACAAAGAGTGTACCGTAGCTCACAGTTCTTCCAGATCAACCTTCCAACACTTGATGATAACAGGCGTGCCATTCAGATCGGCCAGCCAAACTGCCTTGTCATGGACGTTGGGATCTGATAGCTGTTGGACACAATTGATAACCATAGGGGTACCTTGGCCGTAGTCTAATATGACGCTAGTCAGAGTGATTGTTTGCCCAATTGAGGCTAAGGGTAGCTGCGGCGGTTGAGGCGGCTGAGGCGGCCGAGGTTCATTCCCACGGAGACGATTTGAGACACACGGCGGAGGAGGACCTCGGAGCTATTTGATATATCATCAACTGTTCTTGGTTCCCGGGGTCACCCATATATATACCTATACTCGTAGCAGAAAAATACGGGCTCTCGTGGTACCGCGGCTCCGATAAGGCCATCAGACAGAACCCTGTAAACAGCTGGCACAACGAGTGTTTAAGGACAATATGTCTAATAAGCCCAGAAAGAAAGCAGAAAGCAAGCATCGGCGGTTCCTTTGACAAAGACTGTGGAATTGTGTGTGGATGCAAGCCCATATTTCAGAGGCGCCATTCGCATTTAATTCACGACTTGGCCTAAAGTTTATTGACAAAAAGGTCAGCCCAGTGTCCATAATAATAAAAGCGACGAGTGAGGGATATCAATAAGTGGCTCAAGAAGGTGGGAGGTACTCGATCGACCCAGTCTCATATACGCCTAAGGAAATGTCCACGGTGTCTTGAGTTCACCAACCAGATAAACATTATCGGGTGTGCGCTCAGTGTTAACGGGGCCCAAGGAAACATTTGGAATGATGTTGGTCATATGGGTGATAGCTTGGATGTCGGCAAATCTCATGGAAGACATGCTTGACAATGGCTCAAGTGCCCTCATCACAGGGTCACATAGGTTTCGCACAAACCTGCCAGAAAGGCCTAATTCATTCATGACTATGTACAGCTCATTTTCGTCATGGATATCAACCTGGTGCGTGATATTTGCTCGTTGAAAACGGCCAAAGGCATCTTGAACAAATGAATTCCACTGGTGCATATACTCCAGGGAGACGCGCTCGCTGTGTATCGATGGGTCGGAGGTGCCGAAATTGAAACTTAGAGACGGTAATGGATGAGCCAACTGGACCTGCGCAGGTTCCATTGCGAGACTTGGAACAGACACCAGCCGAGAGTGAGAATATAGTATAGGCAGGTGCCAGGGTCCGATCCCCAATTAGGACTAGCTTCCACTGTGGGTCACTGTGGGGTATTCTGCTTGGCAGGTACGGGTCACGTGTTGCTCGATGGCCCTAGATATTCTCAAGGGAGAGAACAGTTGAAGAAGAGTGTGAAGATATGCACAACACCGAGCACCTAGCAAATACCCGCAGACAGCGCTACTGAGACTGACGCAGAATTGCTGACAAATCCCTCTACGTAGTTATCCCGGGGCCCGGCATTATTAACTTCACGGCACCTCGGGACCTTCCCAGGTTGAAGCTGGATTATGAATCACGTTGGATTTATAAGCAGAGTAATATACCTAAACCTTAGTGCTCTGGCTCTACGCAAGATGAGCCGTCGGGACTAGTATTTACCAAGTACTCAACGGAAGAAGTCCTCTTTCGACTTTCAATAAAGTCACTCGGTTATTCAAACATCCATCCCGTTTGCAATGTCTCAAACAAAGATCCTGATCCTTGGAACTACGGGCTATATGTAACCATAATCTCATGGACGGTTTAGTTCAAGCTACTGATACTATCATAGCGGCGGAAGCATTCTTACGGACCTGCAGAATTCGAAGAATGCATCAAAGTATTCCATCTCTGCACTTGTTCGCAACGAAGAGCATGTGTCAAATCTCAAGGCCCGAGCCGTCGAACCTATCTTATTCAAGGGCTTAGATGACCTGGGCACCATCAAGAAGGTTGCGAGTGAATATGACATCGTCATCAATGCGGCATCGGCTAGTCATGACAAGTCAGCTTCCGCCATTATCCAGGGGCTCGCGGAGAGAAAGCAGCATACTGGACGTGCAGTTCACTACATTCATACATCTGGAACCTCGCTTCTCGGCGATCAGCCCATTTCTGGAAAGAAGGTTGACCTTCGCGTCTACTCCGATGCAACTGATGATATCTATGAGTACGAGAAGAGCCGGGGTCCATACGGTCAACGTACCACCGATTTTGTTCTTGAAACCGGACAGAAACTGGACATTCCAACTTACGTTGTTGTTCCGCCAACTATCTATGGCAAAGGCAATGGTCCTGTCGCCACAATATCCCAACAGGTCCCCATCCTCGCACGCGAGGCTATCAAGAGAAAACAGGCAATTGTAATCGGCAATGGGGATGGAATCTGGAACCACGTCCACATTCTTGATCTCGCCCCATTGTATACCTTGATTCTTGAAGGCATCGTAGCTAACCGCCAGGATCTCCCATCTGGACGGAAAGGCGTTTTCTTTGCCGAGACGGGAGAACATACCTGGCTGGATGTATCTCGTGGAATTGCAGATGCCTGTTTCGTTCGAAGCTTGTGCTTCACCAAGGAGGTCAGAAAGATTGACCTCACAGAGGCGGCCCCGATCGCTGGAGGCAGTGAAGATCTTGTGGAGATTATGTTGGCCAGCAAGTAAGTTCTGTCTTTGAATCTCCAAGGTTTGATTGGTTGCTGACATGATAAAAGTGCAAGATCACGCGCAGATTTGGGCAGAAAGCTGGGATGGAAGCCGACCAGAGATGATGCTGATTTTCACAAGCACTTTGATGAGGTGGTTGCTGCTGTTGCTCAAGAATTCAAGCCATGTAGCTTAATAAGTTACTACTAGGCATGTACTATAGAAACTCATGTTAAGGTTGACGAAACGAGCTGCTGCGCTGCCTGCTAGTAGTCCCGGGGTCCACCAAAACACTTCCAAAATGTCACCATGAGTCCCTTGGGAGGTGGTCGTACCTTTATCTGTGACCATCGACGTATTCTAATATTGATCTCCCCGGTCCGTCATCGGTCTGTTCCCATCCCCCAATCTCATTATCGTCGCACGCTGGACGATTAACAGTTCAAAATCGGCTTTATATATACAACACATACGTACGTACCGTATATGGATATATATGGTTGTAGTCTGCATATTTGGATTCATAACCAGAGCTATAAAATTCCGCTCCCATGGCCAACACGGAAAATGCCATCCTCAATAGGCCATTCACCCGGACAATATCGAAAGCATAAGACAAGGGCTAAATGGCTTGTGCAAAAAGATAAAACAGGAGATAAGAGCGACACTCGAGTCACATCAAGCACCTCTGCCAGTTGCTCTCCATTCATCTTCTGCTGTATCTGACCTATATCCTCACCAGAATGGGGCGGCCACTATCCCAATCAAAGATAGCGCTTGGAAACTGGCTGATGTTCCTATAAGCGTTACCGCTGAGCCAAGGCCGGCACGTGAATTTGTTAGAAAGACAGGATCCACAGGGATTATGAGAAACAGCATTCTTGTGTGATGTGACGGATAATATACTAATAGAAAGTGGAAGATATTGAGTGTTTATGGGTCTCCTATTTGGTCATGTCGAGGGTTTTTACACTAGATCTAGATTATAGAGGTCCTGACCTATTCATACGTTAGATTACTTAGTGATTCTTCACCGACGGTCTAGGGATAGAAAGGGATGAGTCTGTATTTGGCAAGGTATGTAACTTTGACCTTGCTCAATTCAGCGATTATTCAAGCTGGTCCATCGGATGAAGATGAACACTCGATGGTCATCTAGGAGCTATATCCCTAAGTTATATTTATGCCTTTTTATATGTCCTTTCAACTCTTTTTTTTTTTTAAAAAAAACGTCTTCGTGATATCCTTTCAGATGTCTTCCAGATTTCTTTCAGTCTCCTATAGATGCCTGGAGCTTGAGAGTCCGGATTTTGACTCACTCACCTTATGGCCTCAGATCCTCCAAAATATCCTGTTGATTCCTAGGGATGACACTGTCTCTCTTAAGGAAAAAGTTGGTCAAAGATGGTAAAGATGAGTATGATTTCTTTCGAAGACTTATGGCTTTTGCCACCGCATTCTCATAAATCTGGCACAACATCGCGGGTGTGGAGATAAGATGACTAAGACACCTTATCTCCGTGCTTCCCAGATTAGCTCATTTATCTTTTTGATATTGTATTGCTCTCTTTCACTCTCACCAACTTGGCTATCAACTACTTACACAATGAGATCTGCTAATTGGAGCTGCTCTACTGTTTGAGTTTCCCTCCCCCCCCTTCACAATGACCTCAACACCCACCCCAGCCGAGCCGCCTGGAGCATCAGAGCATTCTCGAGCCAACGAACCCACCGAGCCCACAGAATCTCACTCACACAACCCCTCTCATAAAGAGCACGGACACTCAAGTCGCAGCCGTGCATTCCGGTTTAAAGATGGCAGTCGTCCCCATCGCAAGCGTACCCACCGTCACCGATCGCGCACGCGTGACAGTGAACCCTCTAAGCGGCGACATCGCGAGGAGAAGCAACCGGAGCCCACATATGAAGACTCTTTCGGTTCCACTAGAGACACCTTCCGTGAATCTCTGTTCGACGCGCTTGGAGATGACGAAGGTGCTGCGTACTGGGAATCAGTCTACGGGCAACCCATCCACAACTACCGTGTACCGGATGTACAGCGGGGTCCGGAAGGTGAACTCGAGCAGATGACGGAGGAGGAATATGTAAATTACGTGCGTCAGCGAATGTGGGAACGGACGCGAGAAGGCATGCAGGCAGAGCAGGAACGTCTACGAGCTGAACGGCAGCAGAAAAGGAAGGAAGAGGCTCAGAGGAATGCGCAGTATGGGCGGGAGGAATTCGAACGCGCTATGGATGACAGTTTGCGGCGAGGGGCGGAGCGCAAACGAGCTAAGGTTGGCTGGAGTGCGCCCTGGGCGGCTTATCTGAAGAGCTGGGAGAATATTGGGAAGGCTGCGGAGGGATCTGCTCCCAAGCCATTACGCAATCTGCTCTTCTGGCCTGTTCGCTCTGGGAAGAGGGCTGATATTCAGCCGCAAGCTGTTGAAGAGTTCATGCGTCATGCCCCGGCGCCGGCCGAGTTGCTCGGTACGCTGAAGGCCGAGCGTATTCGCTGGCATCCTGATAAGATCCAGCATCGCTATGGCGCATTGGGAATCGACGATGTTGTCATGCGCAGCGTTACCGAGGTCTTCCAGATTGTGGATCGCATGTGGAATGAGGAGAGAGAGCGACAGAAGTGATGGGATGGGGTGAGAGTCTACATTGGGCGGTGTCTTGGTTTGTTATTTGTTTTACTATCGATACCCTGAGCATTATGCTGCATATGACTGCATATGGCTGCATATTTTGAATGATCATGACTTTAATTTATCTCAAAGACGAAGAGAAAAAAATAAACAAGAGCTGATATGTGGAACGTAGATCAGAGTAAAAAGAGCTTCAAAGGGGCTATGTATGCAAGATCCCTTTCATCAGACAGAAACTGGGCAACCCCAGAGATCAACTTGAATCACACAGAAGAAAGGTTAAAGATCTGTGCTTTGCCAAATATCCATACAACGTAAATTTAGAACCGCGATGACCGGGCTTTGGTCCGGTAGACCGTCCAGGCAAAGTAACCACCGACAATAACGGCGAAGAACAATACGATCTTGAAGAGGAACCAAGTCCAGCTACTCTTCTCCTTGGGCTCCTTGATAGGCTTGGAGGATGGGTTACCACGGCCCTTGGACTTGCCTTCCGTGGTCTTGCCTTTGTTGGCATTGCTACGGTTAAGGGAGTATAGGTTCTCGGCCTTGAGAGAGATGATATCGTGGTTGTCGCTCAGCTCGCCGGTCTCGGCGGAGAGACCCAAGTATGCGACGGAGGGGATGGCGATGTTAGAATCCTCAGCGGAGAGATTAAAGCATTCGGTCCATGTGTCTTCACTCTTGTACTGCAGCTCCAGAGACAGGGACTTGTCCTGGAAGTAGGTAAGGCGGGCTTTGGTGGGAACGGGGGCGCTGCGAAGACCACGAGCCTGTGGACAGTTAGAGACATATCTGAAACAGGTGAGAAATAAAGTTCACTTACAGAGCAACCGGCAAGCTCATTCGCCTTGCCATCATGCGCCTGGTCGTAGGTGGTCTGTCCATCACCCATCATGGCCATGACGTAGGGGAACGATACACCAGGACGGTTGTTCTTATAGGTGTCGAAGAAGATACCAAGACCCTCGAATTTGTCGGTAGACCCGAAGACAGGGCCCTGCGTGGCACGTTCCTTAGTGAGCCAGAGCGCAAATCCATCACCATGCAAGTTGCCGGAGCCATGGATCTCGAACTCCAGTTCGATCTAGCGGGGGATATACGTGAGCTTTTGGCGAACACTTTGGTTTCGCGGAGACCGTTTATTTACCTGCCAATTGGTTGCGGTCAGAGGCACGCGGGAAGAGATCCATCCTTGCTGCGATGGCCGGTCGGCCGTGAGGCGGACATATCTGAACACAAAGACAAAAGTCAGCACTGATGAGATAAATTCCACCTGAAGGTCCGGAGTATCATTACTTGTCAGCGCGGATTACTGTATCTCCTCCGAAGTCGAACCAGCGGCTTTGGAAATCCGAATCGAGGTATGGCTGTGAATGGCGGTTAATACTGATATGCCTCCTCGGGGAGCGAGCTATGCACAGCTTGTTTTCGGACTTTTCAGACAGACAAGCTGGGCTCAGAATATAATCATACCGGAGCGAGGCTGTGGGTGCGAAGCTAACAGACGTCCAAAGTCAGTACCTCGGTTTGAAACGGAGTCAACATTGAGCACATACGGGAATGCTTTTGAGATTCGGGTCGATGTAGGCAGCCGCGGGTAGGGCGACTAGGCCCGTGAAGCAGAGGAGCGAGGAAATAGACGGAAGACGCATTGTGGAATTTGTATTAGGGCTCAATGGAGGGGATCCCAGGGTGTTTGAAAGATAGACTAGAGGTGGGATGGACAGGGTACGGTGTCTCCAGGACCCGAAAACCCAGCGAGTAGGATAGAAGAAAAGAGGCCGTAAAAATTGTCGAGGAAAGGCGACAAGAAGGAGTGAATAGGCGAAGTTCCCGGGGCGCGGAGACGAGGAGGTGAAGTATACAGCTTGTTGTGCTAAGGTGTCCACATCTAATGTGGCGCAGTGAAAACACCAGCCACAACCCTTCACCTCAGATCCTGAAGTCCGACTTTCTTCGATCCAATTCAACTCATTCCATTACACCTTTCCCACCCAATCTCACTCTTTCATAATGTCGTCGCTTTTCGGTTCCGGCTCCGCCGCTCCCATTCAGACCTCCGAGGAGATCAAGGCAGCAGTCATGCGCCAGCTCCAGCAGGAGGCCGCCATGTCTAACGCCCGTTCCCTGATCGGAGTACGTCACCACCCTTGATATCCAAATCCGGCAAAAACTGACAACCCCAGAAAATCAACAAGCACTGCTTCAAGGCCTGCGTCCCCGCCCCCGGCACCTCGCTCTCAGCCAAGGAGAACACCTGCCTGTCCAGCTGCATGGAGAAGTACATCGCCATGTGGAACCTCACAAGCAAGACCTACATCGCCCGTGTCGGCATGGAGACCAAGCGTCTCGGTGGTCAGGATGCTGCTGCCATTGCCTCCATGGCTACTGGCATGCCCGAGGGCGGCAGCGGAATCCTTGGTTAAATTCGATCCATCCTCGAATCAGAAGAAAGTAAGGAAGATGAAGGATGAAAACAAGCAAAAGAGAGACACACACACCTCTGTGAATGAACTACTGTACGATAGAAGCGGCCTGGTAGCCCGTGTATAATATGGGCGTGGCTTTTGGTGCCCCAGTGGTTGGAGAGATTGGGAATAGAACAGGGTTCACGACGAATCCATTTGTACATCGAGTAGGCAATTGAAAGAGAAAAAAAAACACAAAAAATTCGATTGTAAATTGCTTAAGAAAAATGATGTGCATATAGAAAGTATGGATTTTCATATAATGGCTCCTGGTTTTTCACGACTCCTCCCGGGGTCAATCAGTTCCGGCCCTCCCCCAGACTTTTCGTCGCGTCATAAAATCATACAAGCACCTTAGAAGTCGGGGAAAAGGTGACCATATCTGAAACGAGTTAGTAAGGTGTGCGGGTGTGGAAAGAAGTACATACGCATCGTCTCCCTCCTGGCCATAGTGCTCTGTCTCTTCCGGATACTTGTCGTATTGGCTTGCGTCACCTTGCCCACCGCGAATGGGTGGGATATATGGTGCATCAATATCCTTACGAGCCAGTCGGTCCCAAGTGACCTCGGCGAACCAGGCATGGTTCTTGACGTCGCTCGGGCCACCGTGCAAGTTGCCGAGACGCTTGGTGAGGTCAGCTGTAATCAGCTGAGAGAGCAGATCGACCGCGTCGGTGTGCAAGTATGGAGGATACTTGACTCTGCCCCGCAGGATATTCTCGTAGATCTTGACTGGAGATCCGCTGTCCCAGAAGGGAGTGAATCCACACAGCATTTCAAAGATTAAGATTCCCAATGACCACCTTTTAGACAATTAGAACAATTCGACGGAAGCATTGAAAGCAAGCTTACCAGTCAACTGACTTGTTGTATCCCTTGGAAGAGACAACCTCGGGTGCCAGATAGTCGGGGGTACCGCAAAGTGTCCAAGTGATATCCGGCACGTCCTTGGCGAATCCAAAATCTGTGATCTTCAGATGACCATGACGGTCCAAAAGAAGGTTCTCCGGCTTCAAATCACGATAGATGATATTATGTGAGTGCAAATACTCTAGCGCTAGGGTAACCTCCGCCGCATAGAATTTGGCCACAGGGTTCGGGAATCGCTAATGGCAAATGAGTTCCTCGGTCCACACACACCTGAGACCGAAGGGGGTATTGGGTCACTCACTTGTGATTTGCGCAGGAGACTGAACAATTCACCTCCCTCCACAAAGTCCATGACCATATAGAGGTTTCGGGAATCCTGCCAAGTTCCCCACAAAGTAACGAGGAATGGATGGCGGACACGGTTTAACATGCGGCGCTCGTCATTTGTATGCTCAATCTGCTTCATCTTGACCACCTGGGCCTTCTTCAACACCTTCATTGCATAGAAGCGATGATTGTGGTTCGACTGCACCAGGTGCACACGGCCGAAGCTCCCCGTTCCCAAGGTGCGCTGAAGCTCGAAGTCCTCCTGAGAGTACTTCCCCTTGGTAACACGCTCCTGCTTCACCTGCTCCGGCTCCTGATTTATAATGTTGTCGATACTGGCGGCATTGTCGTGTGTACCGGTACCCGTATGCTGGGGCGAAGCGTGCGATGCTTGCATGGATGCGCCTGAACCGTCCTGGTTCTGAGAATCTGGTTTCCCTAGATCTTGCGAATCCTTCGTTCGCCTCTTCTTCAGTAAACCTCCTAAGCTCGGCATGGAGAGAAGATTAGACGGGCTTTGGGGCCATTTGGGGGGAGGGGATGGGGGAAGAAAGCTGGAATGGGAGGTCCGGATTAAGTGGGGAGGGGCAGCGGCCAGAATGACGCATTGATCTTTCATTATCGACTCCAACACTTTGAGAACACTTTTCTATTCTATTGACTTGAGAGATCTATTTGGATCTGTTGGTTTAATTGGTCTATTAGTTTATTTGGTCTTAGAATCTATTTCTCTGAATTTTTGCATTTATGTGGCTTATTCCATTATTCTCTTGGGTATCACATATAGTATGTATATCCCTTGACTACAGTAGATAATCAAAAATCCGATTCAATTCGACTCTGTCTCTCATGAACACCTCATTGTCCCAATGTATGATCCTATTAATCTCCAAAAAGCGGAGAACCCGGATCCGATGACGTTACAAAGTGATGCGATCATCTCGGTTTGACTGTAAGGAATGACATCTGGAGTTTTGGCTTGGTGTTTTCGGCCATTTCTCTCTTTGGCCCATTCCATCCCGCCTAGTCCACTCTGTAATGTCCTTTTCGATCCGATCTTGGTTCAAGATGCTTATGTAAATCGATGCCCCGGGAGTCAGGTGTCAAACAAACTGGGGAACTTCCAACCTCGAAAATCCCAAACAACCACAACACAACTCTCTCACCATGGGGCTAGTAGGCTACTCAGATTCGGAAGGCTCAGATGCCGAGCCAGATACTACACCCGCCCCCCAGATCACCAAGGCAAAGAAGGTCGACTCCAAAACTGGGTTCCAGGTCGACCGCAACAACCCGCGCAGGATCCGCATGACCATTCCAGAAATCAAACCCGAACACCCATCCGGCGAAGATCCCGAAGATGGTTCACGCAAAAAGCCTCGGTTAGGGGGAGGTAGCCTTGCGGGATTCAACTCTTTCCTTCCAGCGCCGAAACGAACAGCTGAAAAGAAAACACCAGTGGCGACAACACGAAAAGCGTTTAGTCTCAAAACAGGTGCAGGCCCTGGATTCGATCGCTCAGCCGATGCGGAGATGAGAAATGATTATGCTTTTGAAGATCTAGCGGGAGATGCGGACACCACATCTGCACCTGGCAGCTCAAAACCCGACACTACATCAGATGCACCGGACACAATGAAAAGTCCCGTGGAGGTCAAGCTCCAAGGAAATCCGATGATGTTCAGACCGTTATCCGTCGGGCGACCTCAAAAGAAGAGAAAGACCACCAAGATTGCTGAGCAACCAACACCATCAGCGGCGCCGAAGCCTGCTCAACCTCTACAGCAAGCCCCTACATCTGCATCTACATCTGCACCTGCACCTGCACCCGCACCACCAAAACCCAAAGTCAATCTCTTCTCTCTATCATCGGAAACTACTTCTCAGCCAGATTCGGCACCTGGACCACCAGCAACCTACCAGCCGCTAGTATACAACGCCGAAGGCGAAGAAGAACCAGCAGCTGGTCCAGTACTCGCCGAGCCTACACAAATCGCCATAGACCGTTCAACGGCAACAGTATCAACCAATCCTACATCATCCTTGGACAGCATCGCCAACGATCTGAACTTGTCCAAGTCTGAAAGACGTCAGCTCTTCGGTCGGAATGCCAATGTCACCTCGTCGCAGTCACAGGTGCGTACCTTCAACACAGACGAGGAGTACGCGTCGAACAAGGTTCTGGCGGAAGGCGAGCTGGCCGGAGCACAGCACAACCCTGTGCGCTCCATTGCGCCGGGCAAGCATACCCTCCAGCAATTACTCAATGTTGCAAGTTCGCAGAAGGAGGCATTGGAGGAAAGCTTTGCAACGGGTCGGAGAAATAAGAAGGAAGCTGGATCCAAGTACGGATGGTAGTTTTAGCATACACAAGGCCCTTCTGGGAGAATTTTTGTCAAGCGCATTAGCATTGAGATACCATACCATTTTGTACGAAATGACATACGGGAATTTGAATAAACTAAAAAAAAAAAATGTACATTCAACTGATATGTAGCACATCTATAAAATCTATCCTGTACAAAAGAAACCAATCCCAAACGCCAAATATAAAATAACTCCAATAGATAATTCCAACTCCTTTTAATTTTTGGAGTATCAAGACGACACATCCACAACTTCAGCGAACCACTGCTTGAGTGCAGTAGCCAAAACAGAGGGCAACTCCCTCACATCACGAACAACGAGGTAGTAAGGGAAGGGGAAGTCCTCGAGGTAACGCTTCATCTTGAGCTTCATCTCACCACCGGAGTTAGGATCGGCCTCGAAGCTAGCCTGCGAGAGGTCAAGGATAGAACTACCCTTAACAGCATCGACAATAATAAAGACAACCATGATGCGCTCCTCAAGCGCCTGTCTAACAAGACGGCGAATAGTATCATGATCTTCACAGATACCATCAGAGATAATCAACTGAAGCTGCCAGAGATCGGCAGAGCCAGACCCAGGCGAGCGCTTCCAGCGAGCCTCGCGGAAGAGAGCGATAGAGTCGGCGATCAGCTTGCGCACATTGGTACCGGTTTGCTGGTAGCTGAAGTGCTGGAAGACCTGGGAACCGGCCTCGGAGGAGAACGGCTTTCCGAACTCGTGGGCGACGCGAACATGTTCTTCATTACCGAAACCGAGGACACACAAGTCGCCGGCTTCCAGCATGCTCAAACTCTTCGCAACAAGGGCGAGGGTCTCGAAGGCGAGCTGGCCACTGCCACTTTCCAGCATGGACTTGCTGTCATCGACAGCCAGCATGATCTGGTAGTTGCGCTTTGAGGGGATAGAGCGGCGCATCCAGATCTTGTCGCGCTTGTACTGGGATGCAATGTAGGGGATGATGCGCTTGATGTTCAGACGCTTTCCGGTGCGGAAGTCACCACGGAGCTTGGTGGCCATAGTGGGTGCGAGGATGAGGCGGAGCTGTTCAGTCAGGGAGAGGGAGAGATCATTTGTGGCGGACTCGTAGTGCGACCAGAGGCGGCGGGCTTCGTCTTGTGGAGTCAATGGGGGGAGCGAAGAGGATAGGTGGATGGCTGCGAGTTGCGAGTCGACTTCATCGAGCTCCTCGTCTATTTCTTCGGTACCCTGTGCTCCGTCTGCGCGATCGTGGGATGATTGACCGTTAGGAATGAAGGCGCCGGCAGAATCACCATCGGCTGGAACGGTCTCACGGTCGATTTGCATCTCATCCTCAAGCTGGTTATCAACGGCATCTTGCTGCTCGTCCGATACGTCTGGGAGAACATCGTTCTCACCGGGCTGAATGTCAGACTCGACACCCTTGCTTTGATCGAGGGCTTGCGTTTGATCGTCGTTTGCTTGTCCAAGAGCCTGGGTGTCTGCGGCATCGTCGTCATCCTTTAGGTGCTCAAAGTCGGCATCGGCCATATCGGTGTCTTCGGGCATAGCCTGGGATTCCTCCTCCTCTTGGGACGGATTGAGGATCTCCTTTTGTCGTCGATGCCATTGCTCAAGTATATCACCGAGCTTCTTGAATGCCTGCATCTGAGGCTCATCTGGCCCATGATCTTCGCCACCGGCAGCGTCTCGGCTGGGCTGGCTCTCCTCGCTATCCTTGGCAGCACCTGTCTGTTGGTCGACATTAGCACTGGGATCAGTCGAGCCGCTCTCCTGCTGAGCGTCACCTGAGGCACCCTTTTCTTCATTTTGGTCTTGCTCGGCTCCGAGACCGCCAGTGACAGCTTCACTAGGAGCGACGTTGTCACCTGCGGCATCATTCTCATCACGTTGTGCGAGGAAGTCGTCTTGCTCAGGTTCCTCGGGATCTTCTCCACCAGCTTCCTCTTCCTCCTCCTCTCCGGCTTCGCCTTCGTTGGTTTCCTCGGCATCATCGGCCATTTCTTCATCTTCCGCGCCTGGCTCTTGATCCTCCGGGGCTGCCTCAGCGTCTTGTTCGCCGGCTTGATCATCGGCGTCTTCGACTTTCCCTTCTTCTTCAGGGGCAGGACCGAAATCATCGTCAAGATCATCCATCTCATCGTCATCCTCGCCATTGTCCTCCTTGCCTTCACCATCATCAAGTTGCATTTCCTCAGGAAGCTCAAGTGTTTCTTCTTCCTTCGCTTGAGGGTCGGTAACGTCCATTTCCTCACGGCCAACTGCCTCGCCCTCATCCTCGGGGGCCTCTTCATCTTCTGTTTCTTCCTCTTCTTCATCTTCTCCTTCCTTTTGCTTTTCTTCGCCCTTTTCACCATCCTTGTCCTCCTTCTTCTCTTCCTGGGCAGCAGCTTGTTGCTCGGCCTCTGATTGGCCCTTTCCTTCTTCGTTCTCGGTATCCTTTTGCTGCTCATCATTACCACCGTCCCAGAGCTTTTCGTCGACAGCACCTGGGTCAAGGTCATCAACGCTTCCTGTCTCTTCGTCGATATCGTCCTCTCCTTCGTCTGCACTGTCGTCGTTCTCCTCCTCTTCCTCCTTACGATCCTCGGCATCGCCTTCCAAATCTTCCTGATCCATGTTGACAGCATCCTTGGAATCATCCATTTCATCATCGCCGTCTTCTTTCTTGTTCTCTTGTTGCGCCAACTCTGTAAGATCTTCGTCATCCCCAACATCTTTGCTGATATCTTCTGCGCCTTCGCCTTCACCGAGACCCGTGCCACTTTCCATCTGGCCCTCCTTGCCTTGATCTTGGGATGCTTCGGCAGGACTACAGAAGCCTTCGGAGGCGACCTGTTTGAAGGTCTTGGTCAGGATGTAGGATGTCTTACAGATCTCGCGATGAACGGCGATGAACCGATCAGCCAGATCCCGGCAGATTTGGTAGTATCTGTTGGCGATAGGCAGGATACTGGTGATCAGGGCGGCAGCAACGGAGAGGCCGCCAGCGGAGTGGTCTTGGAGGCGGTGCAATTGATCAAGGACCTTGTCCAATGCGGTGGTGATCTCGCTGAGGTGAACAGCCTTAATACCACGAGAGAAGAACTCATCACTCCTCGACAGCAATCCATCAAAGGTGATGGCAGAAGGCACATCCTTGAGCTTTTGGAGGCCAATGAGCATTTTGTCAATGGCCGTCAGGAGGCTGCTATCGAAGGCTTGGATGGATAGGCTGTTCTCATCGTTGTCCTCAGGGAGAGCAGCGATGTTTGTGATAACCCAAGGTGTGATCTGATCCAGCGCGAAGGACAGATCAGGGCGAGCTTGGCTCCATTGCTTCAGGTCAGCAGCCAATTCATCGAGCGATGATTGTGCCTGCTGGGCGATCTCGTAGTTGGCGTTAGACGCAATCCGGGTGGGAAGCATGGGAAGGGCTTCGTGCGACTTGCGTAGGCTATCGAAGGATGCCTTCTTGGCGCGGAGCTGTTCCACAATCTTAGATGCATCAATTCCTGAGAACTTGGAATGGACTCCAATGATCATTGCGGCTAGTCCAAGAATGGGAGCTAACCAAGCCACGATTCTGGCCAGGCTGGCTCGCTCTTCCGAGGCAAAAGCGCGGTCTTGTGACAAAGAGTTTGAAGCCGCTGCCCAAAGGTTCTGCACCTTGTCAAGCGTAGACTTCAACTTACCCAAGCCTGTGAGGGCAGGCGAAATGACACCTCTCTGGCGACGGACAGTGAAAACGAGGTGCTCAATAGAGCCCATGCTTCTGTGAACCTCGACATTGCTTAGCTCCTCGGAATAGTTGCGAGAGGCCAGGCGGGTCTTGGGCAGGAGATCCAAAAGTCTGTGGAAGTACCAGTCGGCGCTCTGAACTGCGGTTGAGGTTGCAGCGCCAGCCTCAAAGGCGGCACTTGTGGCGAGAACCTGGGGAACAGTTTCTTGAGTTTCGATCACACTCGATCCAGCATTACGTTTCACACCCATCTCATATAGTTGCTTGAGGGTCTCGGCATAGAGACGGCGTTTCTGGGACTTGAGGTGCTGGACGTCCTCTTTGTTGTCTTCGTTGAGGACCTTAGGTGTCTTAGACTTGTACTCATTCATGCTTTCAATCACCGAGACAATGAAGCTGTCGAGGTCCTTCGCAATGTCGAACTCGGCTGGAATTGACGAATATAGATTCATCATGTTGTTGGCTGTTCCATCCGGCTTCTGGAATCTGAGCGCTCGAGTCGCCCACAGGTTCTTGTCATTTTGGCAAATGTCCATTGCCTCGGGGAATGTGGCAGTGGGGCGAACTGGCTCTGCTTGGGACATCGAAGTAATCTCCTCGGTGCTTTCTGGAAGGCCTGCTTCAAGTATTGATTGAACTGGTTGGCTAAGAGCCGCGCGGTACTTTCGAACCAACTTGAATAGCTTGACATGCGACCTTCTGGCACTTTCCTTCAAAGCAACGATGTTGACATCTTTCCAGCTCGCAAGTTGGATCTGCTCCTTGATATCCTTTTCAAGAGTGGACCGCTTCTCCGTCAGATACTTGTCTACTCCAGGCTGGAAGGGTCCGTAGTGGTGGAGGAAGTTGTCCAAGGCAGAGACAAGCTTCTTGAGACAGGGATAATCTGTGCTAAAAACTTGAAGCAGCGCTTGGAAGTTGGCAACAAGCTGTAGACGGCGGGCAAATTGGCCCGTGGTCGTAGACTTGAAGAATTGCTCCAGAGTCAAAACCAAGTTTTGGGTATGTTCGGTCATGTCCTGTTCGCCTGCCTCGACCATCATGATGGGAGCACCAATAAGTGCTTCGTAGGCGATAAACCACCAAGCACTCACCTCGTCCTCGCATCGCTCTTTCTCGAGATCCAAGAGCTTGGCCCAAGTTGACAGCTCAAGACGGCGCCAGCTGATGAGAGTACTTGTAATCTCATCGTAGACCGTAACAGCTGAGTATTCTCTGCTGGCCACAGTCTGCCACTCATGCACGAATGAATGAAGCTTTTCAACCTTGGTCATGAACTTGGCAACAG